AGAGAGAGAGAGAGAGAGAGAGAGAGAGAGAGAACACAGTAATAGATCGCTGCAATGATTTCTGGTGGTGACTTCAGCTTACACATTATTTCCATCCTCCGCATGTTCAAACGATTTTGTTGCAGAGGTCCATCCTCTCTGCAAACTTAATCAACTCAAGAAGTCACAGAAGACCTCTGCGCTGAAAAATCTGCCATCTTCAGTTCAACTATGAAGCCAACAGGAACTGGATGGAGCACGATGTCTCTGAACTAAGGACGTCATTAATGCCTCTTTCGTTTACTTGGTTTGAGATGTTAAGCCACGTTCATGTGGAAGAGAATTAATGTGGCATGCATGCTTAAGATAAGAACATTGGTAAGATGATGGTAAAGAGTGCATAGGAACTTGTGTTGCAATAGAAGCAAAGGTCACGGATCCCCACTGCAAGCCATTGTCGTCAACTACCGGCATCATTGGAAGAATTCCCGACACGTAAAAGATGACCACTGCAAACCTCAACGAACACCAGCTAATTAAGACTGACGGATTGTTTCCTTCAACCCAATGCTGCTTTAAAGCCTCTCACCAAAACCACCACATACGCCGGGCCGTCATTTTGGCTTGGGATGAGATGATTTGGTATCCGTAGGAAATATCACCAAATGTGTGTTGTTGCAGGACCCACACTTTAGATCAGGATCAAAATTAATGGAAATCGAACCGGTTAAAAATCAAAATCGAAACTGATCAATTGTGAAATCCGAACTGAATCGAAACCAAGGGGTCCGAGATGCTTAGGAAAAGAAAAACATAAGTTAACACACAAATGAGTTCCATGGTATAGTATGATTAGCATGCATATTCAAAATCTAGTGACTTGTATCTAATATGATTTTTTATTTTTTATTTTTCTCATCCTCCTCTTTTGCTTTTATCAGATATATTTTTTTTTCTCTTTATCGTCCTTCCCTCCTCGACGACTTTACCCCCTCTTCATCTCTTATGCTTTTGCTGGAATTCTTTTAGACATGTGGCCACTCGATATTCTTGCTATTATCATTTTATTTTCTCTCAATTGTCGACCTCCCCTATAGCCCCTCCACTTACTCATTTATGTTGTTATCATAGACCTCATTGATACCCTCTGCTTCTCTTGCTTCGAAGTTCATCATCAACTCTATCACCATAAACTCTACTCACGTCATTATCATCGTTTACGACTATCTCTAGCGTCTCTTTCTTTTTCGTATGTTCATTACTTTTGTCACTCTCTTTCGTAAATTTAATCTTAGTTTTATAATTAAAATAAAAGATAATAATTTTATAATAAAATCAAAACTATATAAAATGACCGATTTCATTTTTCATGAAACTGGAACTAGGGGTTTTAGAATTATGGTTAGGTGTTACTAGAACATCTAAGATCTGATGTATCCTCTCTGTGCACTTTCAGCTGAATCATGCTCTTTTTTCTATTTTACTATCACAACATGTAGGTCCAAATCTTGATTTACTATGAGATGGAAACTTGCAATTTGATAATTATAATCGTCCGTTGAAAATATTTATGTATTTGAGATAAAAAAAATAAATTAAAAAGATAATCTACGGATGAAGAGTCAAATTATATATATTATAATTTAATAGTTTAAGTTTTTTGATTGAATTGCTGACATGATGTTGTTGACTCTTTCCGATTGAACTACAACACGTCGTTTCACATTCGCGTCTTGCCAAGTGGCCACAACATTACTCGATGCAAGAAGGGGAGCGTCCATTTACGATTGAGCAGGCGCAATGGTGGGAGCGGATCCGAACTCCCTCTTCGGGCACTGCCCCGGACGAGTTGGGTGGAGAAGCCAGAGCACGCGGCGCCGGGGGCAGGGCAGCGCTCGCGGCAGTTCGGCGCCGGGTGCTTCGGGGGCATCGAGCTCGCTTTCCGTCGGGCGGCCGACGTGACCCGAGTTACGAGGGCTTGTGAGCCGCGGGCGAAGAACCACTGCGAGGTGGTCCGGGTGCAGTATGATCCCCGCAACTGCAAGTACCAAGGAGCTCTTTAATGTTTTCCGTGCGCGCTATAATCCTATTATCCTCAATCGCCAGGTGAAATTTTGGATTCCTTTGCGAATTTGTTTAGCGTGCTCCTATTTTTGAATCTTTGCTGTTGTTTTTTTACTTATTTTTAGGTTTTTGCAGGTTATTCGTGCGTGATCATTGAGTCAATTTTCTTAGGGTCCAATAACCATTGTACAAAAGGTAAGTGCGAGTTATTATCTATTTGATATCAAAATTTCCATTTTTTTTCCTGGATTAAGGTAATTAGGAATTTTAGAATGCGTTTCAACTGCAAGAAATATGTTTTGGAACTTCGATTTTAGGATGTTTACTTATTCCTATTCTTCGCGTGCTGCATCCACAAGATCTAATCTCAATTTCTTAATACGTTGCTTTCAAAGATTAAAGAGCTTTTTGCATCATTTCAGTAGTTTTTAAGCTTTCCGACAGTTCATACAGAGATGTATCTTACTTGTTCTATTCGTTCTGGTGCTGTATCTTTAATGCTGATCTCATCTTCTACATATTACATCATTGATATGTGCTCAAGTCCAATTGGCTTTTGGGTTAATTAACTGAAAACAAATTGACCCAATGATGAATTAGGAACCACTTACTTGCAAAAGCTTAAGCTGATAGAAAAGAGTCCAAACTCATATGTGAGCTCTGACATCCTTCCTCATGTGCAAGCTAGATGGACTTATGGGCTGGAAACCTGGATGCTAGTGCAAAACTAATCTGCCAGCTAAGGCCAACGGGCTCTGACCCATCTGTTGGTGAATATTGTATCAAACATTAAAGGAAAAAATAAAACAGTTAGCATTCGAACTCTCTGCTCCAATACAAGGCAAGAAAATGACTTTGGTAACCTTTTCCCAAAAATTAAGTTGATAGGAACAAGGCCAATTTATATACAAGCAATGACAAGATTCATGTCACTTTGTTGGTTTTTAAATTTAATCAACTAGCAAATATCTAAATTTAAGCATCTACATAGATATAGAGAATCAACAATAGAACCTGAGAAGTAAAGAAGAGTAGTAGAGAGAAGATGGAAAAGTTGAACCCTGTATCCAGCCAGTAAACATTCCTTACTACTGAAAGGACTCTGGGGAACTGCTTTCAGTGGTGAAATATTGGATTATGAATTTTTTAGTGTACTGTCCTATTACCATTGTGACTTTGAAAAGGAAACAAGGTCTGATAATTAGCTTCTTATGACTTTTTTGAAAGATAATGGCTAATCAATTATTTCTTTAGTGGTTCAACAGAAATTATTTGATTTAATTACTAGTAATCTTTCTGAATATTTTTTAGGTAGATAATACCAGCAAATATTTTTCTTGATTTACATAAACTTGACCTTTTCCCTTGTGCTCTAGTTTGTGTTTCTCTATGACTCCTAAAGAAACCACTAGATTAATGGAAAATTTTGGTTAAAGCTTTGTATACCAATTTTAAATTACTATGAGGTAAACCTTGACCTAACCTAATGGAAGTTTAGCCTGCATCACACTCAAAGTGACACAAGGGCCAAATTTGTATTTCCTACCAAAGAATTTTCTCAACTTTATCGAGTAAAGCAGAGTAGGAAAACCTTTTGGCCTCTCCATGGCCAGCCTTTCAGGAGATTGGCATGTAGCATGTAGGTGTTTTGAGGAAGGGTTCTTTGTTAAGGAAGATCGAGATTTCTTACAAGCAAACATCATCGTTATCTGTTTCTTTCTGAAGAGAATCTTTGAAATCACTGAGATGATATAAGATAGTGGTTTAGTAATTCAAGACTGTAGTTTATTAAGGATGATATGTTGCTTACTTTGATCAGTGATACAGTTAAATAAATGTAACCATATATTATTAAGTTAGCTTCTGGTGAATAATAGATAGCGGTAGTAGAGTAGGAGTTTAGGTTCATGCCTGTGAAACAACTCATGGATTGCATTGCAAATTCTGGCAGCCCATATTAATAACTTTACTTTCAACACATTGACAATCTGGCAATTGAATCTGCATGCAGGAAAACAAAGTTGTTACGATCTTGAATACACTTCTACACGTGAGAACAGGGAAAAGCCCCTATGAAATATTTAGAAAGTAACCAGAAGGTCATGAACAGGAATATCATGAAAGTAAGTCTTTCTGCAAGAAACAAAATTTAGAAGTATCATGAGGATTCAGGAGTATGTTGAGAACAATGGATCCTTTGGTTATAAACAGTCTGCAGCTAGAGGCTGCAATGAACCTATTGGCTGTGATGGCTGAGATGAACTACTAGTCCATGAAAATCTGCAAAAACTCGTGCTTTCCTGTCGATAACCTGTACAAAGATTTACAGTTCATGGATTCAAGTATTTTCTTGACAATCCTGACTGTGACATATGTAGCTTCTGATAATACACATTCTGCCCCATTGATGCAATACTTCTGGTTTTATATCTCTCCTTATAGTAGGAGTTTGCAGCTCAGCTGCTCCAAATTAGACAGATGTCTCATTATATCTGATATTTTGGCTATTATATATCTCCTATTACTTTATTCTTCATGTGTCAGGAGTCCCCCAAATTGACAACGTAATGGACCTTGGCATATAGCAAACTATCATGTTCTTGATTCTCTTGTTTAACATGTTAACAGGTACTTCTCAGGTGCTCCTGAGATTTCCTCAAAGTTTATGCTGTCATGAAGACATCATTACGAGTAAGCATGCCTTTGTTTACTGGTAACTTTTAACGCATGGGCCTTGCTTTTCTTTCAGCATCTTCATGGCATCTAGCTACCTATTAGCCTTTCATATGTCATCTTGTAAAATATAGTAACCAAAGATTATTCTTAGATGAGCTAGCATTGAAATGATATTCTGGGTTCTGTTTGGCTATGATGGTGTATTGTGCTAAAGCATTTGACTTCAGACTAGCTATATGGAATTGTGTTTGGAGAAAATTCTGGTAGTTGCTCGGGAGTCAAATTTAGCAAATAATGAAAAGAAAGAAAAGAAATGGTTTGCATGTGACATGGTCTAATAATTTGAAGCTAAATGGGACTCAGTAGATTGCAACATTGAAACCTATGTAGTTATGGTCTTGGGTCAAATGAATGACATCTTTCTTTTAGTCTGCTGCTTAAGTTATTTCACCAATGGAGTTATATCACTATCATGCTCACCAAAGCCTGTTTAAATCTGGACCACTGCAACAACAAATTGAAATATTTATAGTATTTGGGATTGACTAGATGAATCTTCCAGCTAGTGAGTTCTACATAGATGAGTATCTTACAGGCAAATCAAAAGCATTGAAGTTTCTTTTTCTTATGTGTTCATAGTTTGGATTCAGACCTGCATAAAAGCATCAAATTTGACAGTATTCTCAGGAAGAATAAATTGTGGAGGTCTTCCTACCCCACAACCTCATGCATGCCAACCAAGAAAGTTGGTAGCCAATGATTACCCACCTACCAGTGAATTCCATGATTGCCCTAAGGTGAAGCTTTGCTTTCGATCTCTGCTGTTGGGTTAGCTTTTTGGCTGGGGAGCGTTACTGTGGTCCATAAAAGAGGTCAGTCGATTCAAATCTTTTCTTGTGGAAGGTTTCTTTCTGCTTTCCTCAGAATTTTTGCTTTCTCTGCTCTGATAGAAAGAAATCTTGAGTTCAACATTTACCTATGTTCTGCTGTAGATGCCCTACTGTGGTATATGAAACTTCAAAGTTGCTCTTCCTCTCAGTAAACTATGACCACTGCGATTAATACTTATCAGATGCATTGGGCTTGCATGAGATCAATTTTGCCGTACCATTTGTTGACTCTTTGCATGTTTTATCTCATCTCAATAGTTCGATCACTGTTGCATGGGACTGGGCATAGAAGAATATTTCGGGAATATATGCATGTTGGTTCCAAGTTAGATCTAGATTGGTGAGGGGTGACATTTTCCATCTCTTTGGTGCAAAACACCATAGTAACATGAGACACTCAGTCAGCCGATGATAATAATAAAAGGTACAATGATCAGTTGCATGTCAGTGGCTACATGACCATTGTCCAGAATCCGAGGAGAGGATTCGAATATTGGAAGAAAAATATATTAAATAGATTCTTACATTTCTCTCCCTTGAACATTTGATAATAGTGCGTTTACACTAGCAGATTTTAGTATATATAAATATATGCTTTAAATGTTAATATGTTCCAAGTCATGAAATGTTGATCATAGGAGTGAGCTCCCGCAGCCAGAGTGCATGACGGGGACGGATGTCGACGTCCTTCGCAACCAACCAGTGGCCACAGGCGCTCCGGCAGCCACGAACTGCCCCTCTCACAACCGCTCTCCCAGTAGCTACGCCGCGTTGGGGGACGCTGCCTCTGGTGAGGGCAACTGCTGGCCAAGCAGCGAAGGCCCGCGCGGGGCCTGCTGCCAGCCGGGCGAGGATGGTTCTGTGTTGCTGCCAACGGTTGCTCTCCGTGGCGTCGTTAATGGGGATGGAACAGAGGGGAAGAAGAATAAGAATAAGCAGGTGGAAGGAAGACGAGTGAGGACGAGAAAAAAAAATGTGAGAAGGTGAGAAAGGAAAATGGATCCATTAATCGGTATCGGTCATTTGGATAATTATATAAAATATAGGCTATTTATCGAAAAAATAAGTACGTTTCGTGTTTTTTAGGTTATTTAAATATCAACAGATACCCTCGACATTAATTTTTCATTTCGAATTTGTTGGATGGATTGTCCCTATATGTCTCTTTAGTTTTATTCTAAAACTAAATGAACAAAACAGAGTTCTTTACAAATTTTATATCAATTATTAACATACAATAAAATTTGTGAAGTTTCTCAAAATAACCTTACATTAATAAAAATTTTATAAATAATATATTAATATTTTATATTTCTCAAATAAAGGTATAGTAAACATTTTTAATCTTGGGTAGAGCTACAATAGAAAAAATAAACAATCTAATAACCATTCATTAATGAAAATTCTAAATGCCAAAAACTAAATACCTTTTTTTCTGATAAAATATAGTAAAATTCTTAAGTTTGTCGCGACATAAATACTTCCGAAATTTAGAAGGATAAATACATAATCACTAAATTTGCCACTTGGTCAGTGATATAGTTAAATGGAATCAATTTTTAGTTTCTTATTTCTTCTCTCATTGATTCATTGACGTTAGATGGAATCAAGGTGTGGTCTCCCACTCGTGCCGAGATTGTGCTCGGCGTGCCGCTTGGATTCATTATTTATGTTGACCGACCAAGTGAGGCTGTCTTTTTGTTGGTCTCCTCAGTCGTCTCCATCTCCCCTTTTTTGCGTTTGTACAAGAGGTTTGGTGATGATAACGATGTGACCACTTTCGAGCCCGGATCGGCCTCAGCGAGCTCAAGCTCGGGAGGACCGACGCGTATTTATACGGCCTTCTTATTTGTAGTTTTCCTTTCTTTTTTTCCCAAAACTAAACTATATATTAATTGACAGCCTTTGAGCCCTTTTTTTTTATGATGAATGGGACGCATTCTTCCCGATCGGATAGCATGCAATGAACACGGTACATCACAGTAGCCATATGCTGAGGTGGAATTCATTAACCCGCTCTCTCTTGTGCAAAACCGGGCGTCGCTTAGATAAGAGACGTGGACATAAAAAGGCTTACCCAATTTTTTTTTTCTAGGGTTCAAATAACGGAGTCTGTTATATATAAAATTTTATTTTTTATAAAGCTAATTACACATTATCCTTTGTAATTAGATTTCTTTAAAATCCTAATCCTTATATTTAAAATTTTTATAATTATAAAAATAAAATATTTAATCTTATTTACTTTAATGTCATCGGTTTTATCAACAGAAGATACAACACGTAACAACATATATAAGAATAATATGAAAATAATAGATAAAAAATAATTTCAACGTCTCATGTGAGATAGTTCTACAATTGTATTAGCAGAAGGTAAGGCAAGGGTCATACATCTCATCCCGCTAATATAGATTCAAAGTGACACTTGAGGAAGATGAGAGAGAGCGATGATGAGAAAATGAATGAGGGTGATAGTCACGTCGATGCAAATGTAGAGTGTTGACATTGATGCAAATACCGAGCAATAAAAGATGGAAGAAGGATGAGAAATCAAGGAATGAGGAAGAAGGATGAGTATTACTTTGCTTCTATGTTGGTGTCATTTGCATCAATACTACTATCGTCCTCTTCCTCTTCTCCTTTTGTTTTATCTTTTGTTATTTTTTTTTTTTACTTTATATCTCTCTATTGCTTTTCCTCCTCCCTCCTCTTTAAAAAAGCTACTGAAGGGACCACTTGATCCAACTTCAAAGACATTCCTATGTCGTTCTCGTTCACCACTATGCCATTCTTGTCGATTACAATCATAATAATCACCAGCGACCCATGTCAACGCCCACCATCACATATTAGTCAACTAAAAAAATAAAACATAATTATAAATATTAAACTTATTTTTTTACTTATCGTTTCGTGTTATTCCTAATATTTATATTGTTACATATTATATCTTCCGTCAATAGAAGTAATGGTACTAAAATAAATAAAATTAAGTTAATTATAATGATCTTAATGTAAATCTTTGAAGTATAGTCTGAAAAAATTAAAGAGGTCGAGGATAGTATGTAATTAGTTATTTTTTTAAGTCCCCTCGATAAACAAAACAAAAACAACGTAAATCGAATCACATTAATTAAAACCATCTCGAGAGCGAGGGGAGAGTGATGGAGAGAGAGAAGAAAACACGCCCTCTCCGCTCCGCTCCACAGGTTCATAACGGGAAGTATAAGAACGAGCAGAGCAGCCATCGATTCGCCCCGATCTCTCCTCCCCTGCTTCTTCCTTTCCCTAATCCAAGCCTCCGAACTCCTCGATCGATTTCGCCGATCCTCCTCCGCTTTGGATGCCGAGTTCCTGACCGAAAACTAAGGAGAAATAGATTGACCTTGAACGGATGGATTCGTGGACGCACTGGCTCCAAGAAGGGGGTTCCGCGTGAGCCGGGCCGTGGTCGAGATGCGAGTGGTCGACGGGAAGGGCGGGCTGTTGGTGGCGGTGAGAAGGTTGTCACAGTGGCCGGCTCGAGGGAGCGGGTGCCATTCTTCGCACGGTATGCCATCCCTCGTCTCGTCTCTGCTCGTTAATCGATGCGCTTGTACTTTTGTCGCTGTGAGTTCGGATGACACGAAGCTTGTATGCCCATTCCGTTCGTCTCTGTCTGCGCTTGCGTACTCTCTTCAATGATTTCCGACAATTTGTACGGCATTTTAAGTTGGATTTAACGACCGGACGCTTTTTGCATTGCTTTGTATGGAGACTTAGAAATTTGTCCCAAACTATATGTTGTTTTCTACGCTGAATTTTCTTTCATCGGTACTTCTTGCAGGCTAGCTAAAAATTTGGTTAAACGTGTGCAATGCTTTCGAGAAGCCTTTATTGCTTGATCTGAAACAGTATTTTTCATCTTTGGGAGATTGAAAAGGTGTATAAATTTATATTCATTACCTTGTGTTTTCTACAGCTGAGGTGGTGACAGGATCGACAGCTTGGCTTGGCAGAGGTCTGGCATGCGTTTGTGCCCAAAGAAGAGAGATTGATGGCCGTCTATTATTAAATTTGACCCCTTCTCAGGTAATCACAACTAGCATTAACAATCAATTTTCTGCATAAAAAATTTTGATGGAACAAAAAGGTGTCCTATTGTATCACAATACTTTGTCATAAAAAATAATGTCACGATTAGGAATGAGTATTATGGTCATATTCGTCATCTATGGACACAATAGTTGATAAGAAAATTTGATTATTTCTATGTGTATATGTGTGTGTGCACGCATGCACGCAAGCTATTAACAAACAGTGGGCTTTATGATCTCTTCTCCTTTTATTATTGACTATTGTCAGTAATTCTCTCCCATATTGTCTGAGATACACACCTTTGTGTGCATCCATGGCAGTGGAGAGTGATGTGTTGCCTATTTACAGTTAAAATTGTTAGTAGCTATCAGGCCTTCTGCACTTCTCGTCATCTATTCACCTTCAACTAGCTCTTTTAACTTTTTGGTGTGTTTGCAGGAGGAATGTTTGCGAAGGTTACAAAGCCGAATTATTGTTACTTATGATAGTTCAAATAAAGAGCATCAGGTACTATAGTAATTATATTTTTCAATATGCTATGAACACTGCCAATGCCAATCCTAAGCCCGGATAAAAAAAATGGAGTGTTGCGTTAAGTCACTGACAATCAACGTAAAATTATATTAGATTTTATGAACATAGATCTTAACCAATTATTTCAATGGCGATAAATGATTCATGTAGCTGACCCCTAATAGTTGAGACCTACGACTTTGTTATTATTGTTATTGTAACAAGCTAGAAACATAATAATAAATTAAAAATAAAATGTTATGATATTAGATTTATCTTTTCAAATCTCGAAAAAAGTATTCCAATAACCTAAAATTTCTTCTCATAATGAATGATCTCTAAACTAGTAATAAATGATTCTTTAAACTAACTACAATTGCAGAAACTTTAACTCTAGTTGTGTACAAATAAAAACTCTCAATCCCGTAATACAAATGGTAACAGTTTGGTATATGGCTTTGGAAATTTGTACTGCAGATATTACGCCTTTTTACTTAATTTCTAGACTTGTACATAATCTGATATCAACTGCACTATTGTGTTTAACTTGTAAATGGTCAGGTGCTATGGTTTCTAATTTGCCATATTTAAACAATTGTGGCTTGCCTCGAGAGAACAGTTAGTGCCCTCATTAGCTAGCCTTAGTCAATTTCATCTAAGCTCTCAAAGAATTGTCTTTTTGTTTCCTTGACCAGATAATTGAATGACTCTTGCCGCATAGACAGAAACCCAAACTTTTTTCTTATTGCAAGTAAATATGTTAGGATTTTTTACTTATCACAAGCAAGAAATTGACCATTGTTTCTGGATGTTAATATTTTAGCAACTATCTTATAGTTTATCTTTACAATCATGAGACATTGTAGGAAGCACTATGGGCCCTCTGGTATTATGCTTATCCTGGAGTGGAACTCCATGGTCTCATATCTAACCAGTGGAAGGAAATGGGATGGCAGGGAAAAGATCCATCAACTGATTTCAGGTACCGATATTTGTGTTACCTATTTAATATCTATCTTGCTTAGTTAACCACCTACATCTAATTTTATAATTTCAAGTGATTTTTGGTTTTTGTGCCACAGAGGAGGTGGTTTCATATCTTTGGAAAATCTATTATTCTTTGCCAAAAACTATCCTGTAAGTCCCATTTTGTTTGCAAAGAAAAAAAAATCACAAAGTATATTTTGCATAAGAAGAAAACCATTTTTTGTTTGCAAACAATAATTTCAGCACTTGATGTCAAATAAATAGTTCAATATATTCTAACAAAATTTTGCATATTATGTTTGTTGTTGAAGTTTAAAGGTGTCTTTTAACCCAGAGTTGTGGATAATTAGCTTCTTGGCATGACAAGTTGAGGTCCACTGAAAAGACTTCTACTAGTTATCACAATAGTTTGCAGATGACTGCTTGTTGTCTTTGATACAACTTGCCATCATAGTTCTTACCTTTTCTTAATGGCTTCTCTATCTGTCATCTTTGGTTAACAAGTCTCTCTGCAGAAATCCTTCCATGCTCTTCTCCGAAAGCAAGAGGGTGTCAGAGCCATGTGGGAATATCCATTTTCTGTAGCTGGTGTAAATATTACATTCATGCTCATACAGATGTTTGATCTTCAAGCTGGTTTGTACTCTCTTGATTGCAATAAGTTAATGAAGGCCTTTTAATTAAAATTTTGTAGTTATTTCCACAAATTTAATATTTAGATTAAATGGTCTATAAGGTTTCTCGTAATCGTTTATCTATCCTGTTAGGATCATAGCTGTACCTTTCAACTAGTTAGTAACTAATATGTTGTTGACTTCAGGAAGACCAAGGTCGATGGTTGGAGCAATTTTCCTAAAGCTGCTTTTAGGTATGTTTCGAGATTACCCCTGTAACAAGTTCTTTGCAGAGATGTATACAATAGATGAGATTGTATTTGCATCTTTTTCTTCTTCTGTACATGTTTTTCGAAAACATGTAAAGTTGACCTATAAGCTTAAACCTGTTTCGAGTTACCCGCTTAATTGTTATTACCTCATTCTGAAGAGATATTATCATCCTCAGTACGAATGGCTTTTGCATTTGACAAAATAATTTGTCACAATATGCTTCAGAAAATGAGCGAGCTTTTGACATGTTGTACTGCATAACTTTCAAGATGATGGATCAGCAATGGCTTGCCATGCATGCCTCCTACATGGATTTCAATGTACGCTGCTCTCACCATCCCTTTGAGTTCTTCCTTTTTTGTGCAAACAATTTGTCCTATTAATTTTTGCTGGCCTCCTCCAGCTGGTTATGAAGTCAACGCGTCGTCAACTTGAACGAGAGCTCCTCTTGGAAGACACCCAAAGAATCGAGGACATGCCTTCCTACAGACTCCTCAAACGTTAGGAGCCATCTAACTTTGTACTTCACAACGACGAATCAGTTTTTTTGCATGAATTCTCAGAATTTTCCAATTTGTCGATACTGTCCTTTGGTTTCAAGTTGTCTGAATCAAATGTCCAAGTAATTCAAGGCAATGTCAGCCATGGAGAATGAGTCTCGGGCATTCGAATGCGTTTATTTTGAACCAGAATGCCAAATACTTGCCATCCGAAAGAACATTGATTCAGAGTGACTTCTTTAGTTCGATGTGTATCACTGCTGGTGGTCTCTCTCATCCTTTTCCATCACCAACTCCATGGCACAAGCGGTGAAAGCAGTGCATTTAATGGACATGTTCGAGCATACAAGAATTATGCCATTCTTCATTTTTAACTTATTAATATTTTATTAATGTTTAATTACTCATCTCGTTGGTAAAGTGACAGACGTTTGATAATTCCACATGAAAGAAAGTACACGCGGTGATGGAAGCCACTGTTTTTAGGTTATTGGGCCAATCAAGAATTGGGTTTAAGTTGAGTTTGGATTAAAATCTCGGCACTAAATGATGATTATAGTGGATCGAGTTTTTTGTGCATCGATGTTTAAGCTGCATTTGATATTGTTTCATTAACTTCGGAACTAGTTTGGATATCTAAATTATTAGTCAGGCTCGAATAGGTTCGACTCGGTCGTAGGCATGTACAGTTGGAGCTCGACTTATTCAGTGGACAAAGATGTCCGCGTTGACAACATGCCGCGTCGCGTTTGAATCAGTTGGTATTTGGTTCGGCGCCGACTTTGACTTTTAGTTGGCATTTGGTTCCGGTTCATCTAAGTGGGCCCTTCCTCTTGTTTGATTGTTGATCCAACTAGCACTCTTAGCATCGGGAAACATGAGAGATTTAATTTGCTTTCCTCTATATATCGTTTACGTCTGTCGTTGCGATAAAATTGCTTTCCAATGTGTCATATGGGTTTACTTTTCTAACCTAATTGAAACAACCTGTTTGGTTTTCGAATTTAATTAAATGGGTCAAATCAGTGCATTTAGTCAACCCTCCCTCCTCCTTGGGAGTCTAACCCAAGAACTCTTTTGGTTTTAGTTGGTCGACGAAAAGGTGAGGCAGTTTACTTACCGCACCATGTCTGGTTTAAATTATTTTCGTCATATAACTAGTAACATAGTATTAATTATAATGTAGCGTTTTAGTATAGTTTTGAGTAGAAATTAACCTATCAAAAACAGGACATGTTAGAATATTACATTAAGTTTAATGTTCTCAGCCTTAGTTAACAGCCGACGTGGAACGACAATTCTGTCCAAGAATCTTCCGCACCTCCACGACGACCGCGGCTTCTTCGAGGTCTCGTATCATCTGCATCGTTACAGACGGCATCCAGGTAAAAACTAGTCGCCCTCCCGATATGCCGTCCTCTGATCATTGGGTATGATTCGTGCTAATGGTAAATCCTGTTTTAGATAGACAGTTAATCCTCAGAAGTTGTCTTGGTGTCCTCTTCGAAGAGGAGTCTGCCGTCTACGAGTCTCGCTACCTCCCTCCCTCCAAATGTCATAAGAAAAAGCTCGCCTTTGCTTGTTGCCCCCGAAATCTCCCAAAATCCCAAGCGCCATGGCGACCTACGGCGCGGTGCTCCGGCGCTCCGCGGCCGTCGTCGAGCGCGCCCGTGCCCACGCCAGATCCACCCGCAAGGCCCTCGCCCGTTTCGCCCGCCCCCAGTCCTTCGCCGCGCCGCCCGACGCCGAGGCCGCTGCCGTTCGCGCCGTCCGCAACCTCGCCACCTTCCGCCTCTACTACACCCTCCTCCTCTGGGTCCTTCTCCTGGCGTCCCTCTTCCCCCGGCGGCGCGCCGCCATGCTCTTCCTCATGGCCGCCTCCAAGGTCGCCCTCTTCTACGGCGCCCTCCTCAAGGCCTTCCCCACCTCCGCCCTCCTCCGCAGGGTCATCGACCGCAGGCTCGTGGTGGCCCTCGCGCTCGCCGTCATCCTCATCGAGCTCGCTCTGACCCGGTCCCTGCCGCAGCTGCTACTCGCCGTGGGTATCGGGTTGCCCATCATTCTGCTCCACGCGGTTTTCCGGGTGAGGGACGATCTGCTCGAGGACGGAGACGAGAAGGCAGCGACGGTAGGCGGCGCAGGCGAATTGGCTTCCGTCTTGGAGAAAAAGGAGGATCTTGAATTGGGATCGCAATAGTTAGCAGAGTCATATACTTTTCTTTCATCAAAGCGGAGCCATTGTTGCTTCTTCTCGTCAAGAAAAATCACACCTTTACAATGTAAAGCATCCAGATGTAAACAATGCTTGTTGATGTGGATGGCTCACTGTTTCATGGCAATGTTCTCTTCCGGAAACCGAGTTGCAGAGACAGTTTCAACATGTCATGCTTCTGAACATTCAGGAACTCGAAAATTTGGGATGAAGAAGAGGATCAGATGGTGGTGGCTTGATAACATAGTTGCTCGCTTTTTTACTTCAGAATCCAACAGTGTCTAGTGATGCAATGGACAAGCTTGTAAGGGTTGAAGAACAACCAGAATCTAGCAGAGATGGCAAAGTTTGCATTGTATATGGTGGTATGGAGCAGTGGATGTGTCATGTACATGAACATGAGCTCAAAGAAAACAGATAAAACACTGCAGTCTGGTTCTTGTTCTTCATCAGCTTCTGACTCTCTCAACTTCCCTTCTTATCTGAGGATCCTCTTCTCTTATTTGTATCTTTTTATCCAAAAATGAAAGGTGTAGAAATGACCCCTCACATCGAGGTTCAGTAAAAAGAATGAATTGAGGGGTCATTCCTCTCTCGATTCATGAGAATATTTACCCGTTGAGCAGACTGGGCTAGTCAGTGTTTGTAACCTTAATGCTTTCTTGATAAATATGAAAGTCTATAATCCAAAAATTCCTTCAATTAAATGTGGATATTTCTGATTACATTAAGGATCATCCACGGTGGTCGGTGTGGATTCCTCTTTAAAGAACCCAAAACAACTAATGAATTAATTTTAATATGGATGCTTTTTGTTTTGACACACCACTTGTTTTTGTGGCCTTTAATCTCTCAAAAATAGAAATAACCTGTTGGTGAACCTTTATGTCAGAGTAAGCACAGCTCACTCCGATCCTGAATGTGCAACGTTGCTCGTGTGGAGACTTGGGTGAAGTCGCAAGCCTTGTTGCCTACTTCTTCGTCGCCGAACCCCTGTACATAGGTCGAAGTTGAGAGGGGGATTTCCCGACTCAACCCCTTTAAAGGCTAAGTTATGCTTGAGTGGAACAAGAAAGAGTTCCATGTTGGACATCCCCCTTCATTGGTAAGAGGGTTGGCTTTTTTACCTACGACGGGGCGGTCAGTCGTACGCGGTTCTTTAATGATCATCGACTCCTCGAGAGGATGACTTGTACCATATAGACTAGTGCCGATTGACCCGTACGGGTCAGCGTTGTGCGGCACTGTCCTGAGTTTCACTGAACGGCCCCGGGGTGTCCGGCGCTATCTTAAGTTTTGGAGAACGACTTCAGGGAATCTGACGCGGAACAACATGGAGGTCGCATGGTCGCCTTGTCTGGGTCTGAGATGTCGTTTTTTATCAACTCAAAGGTCCTTTGTGTGTTGTCACGTGGATGGTGCCAAAATATGCCATATAGTAACCTTGGCCTCGTAATAGAGTATACATTTACTGTTTTCATACATACACTCAACAATCAAAATATTAATTGTATCCTTTCTTAAAATAAAATGAATCCCCGTTCCTTTTGAAGTTACAATGATCATCATAATTTAATTTAATCCAACTCAAATTTAGGTTTTTCCTACTTAATTCTCAATCAGCATACCTCCTTATCTCATCAAACACAAATATTTATTACTGGATTATATAAATAATAATTTTATAGAATACTTTTTTTATTATTTATTTTAAAAGTATACTACTTTAAAAATCTCTTACAAAAAGCTTCATGTTTATCGGAGCATAGTATAGACTATAGTTCTGGATGCCAATCTTATCTTCAAATAACTAAATTTTTAGAAGATTTAACCGGATTAGTTAATCGATGGATACTACTATTATCTTCCTGATATACGTGAGTGAATTTAGATGAACTTAGTAATTAAATAAAAAATATTTTACTTTCTTATCATCTTCATGTGATGCATGTAAAAAAAAATTCAAACAAATATTAGATTACGTAATCTTCTTTAATTGAATAAGATATATTTAGATTTTAATTATGATTATTCACTAATAAAAATAATCAAACTACAAAGTATATTCTACGATTCAATGATATTACAAAGTATGCGTATCTAATTTTTAATTATGTTTATAATTGATATCAGAATCATATTTAAAATCGAAATATCTTATATCATAATTCTAGTGTGTTTGTATTTAAATCTATTTATGAGTATCCTTCAGTTATGAAAGGATTTTTTTTTGTGTTATGTATTTCGATCACGTGGTGTGTGCGGTATTCATCCATAGTCGGCTGTTTGCGGGTAATGAAGTTTTGTTGCTCACGCAGATGAAGCCGTCGATGATAGGGTGTTGCCTGGTTTTGATCGACGGGCTACCGTGGGCTATCGGTGGTAGCATTGTGGAGGGCAACGACCCACTGTGGTTGTCGGTCCTACCGTAGGCAGCGCCTGCGCAGGCAGCGGCGTGCATAATCACTGGATGTGTAGGCGTCGCAGTAGAGGGTGGCTTGCGACAGGAAGGGAGTTGTCACGGACCACGGCAGAAGGATCGCCATGAACACTGTGTCACGGCAATGAGACTTGGCCGCATGCTTGCCAGCGGTCGAGGTTGGTGGCTAGAGGCGTTGGTTTTGGCCACTTGGGCCGAGTCATCGTTGCATGGAAGGTCCTGGCGGCAAAGTTCGTCGTCGGTCTGTCCTCGACCGTGTGCTTGGCCGCAATTGAGGTCTAAGGAGTCGTCGGAGGCTGTGCGATTTGGGTGGTTCCGCAGCGGCGTAGGCGCGATGGCGGAAGGCATAGCGACATAGGGTGCCGGCGAGCGACAAACGACGACGACGACATAGCAAAGGCGTCGTGGGATAGGTGTCGCGACGGTGTTTGCAGGCCACGACCGACATTGACAGGACACTGGAGGCCACGCTTGACAGCGTGCAGACGGCCGTCATGAGGAGGCCGTGCGTCGATCGTGCACTGCAGAGAAGCCGCGGGGACGAACCGACCGCGGGGAAGGGGGTAGGGGATTTTGGTCAAAATCAAGCTGGACCAAATCTTACACCGAATATGATTTTGACCAAGTTAGATTTTGACCTCGATCAAAATCCAATTTTGATCAATGCGACCTGGTCAAATATAGATTTGTCTATGATTTGGAGCCCTAATTTTGGCCGAATCTAGATTTTTGACCTTCTTCGACCTTAATTTTGACTGAACCCTATTTTGACCAGCTCCGAGTTTGATTGATTGCACTGGCTGTTGGACCTAATTTGGGTGGCCTAATGCTGGGTTGTCCAATTTGTTGTGGCTGGTCCAATTAAATAAGACTAATTGACCCATTTGGATTTTTCACAGAATTAATTAAAAAAATAATAATAAGTTCTTGAAATGATAATAACTTCTTGCCTGAAATCTGAACACTCCATAGATGTGTTTCTCACCAGTCCTACATCTTTGGTCCACATTACTGTAGCTTAAATCATTTGTTTATCTTATTCCTTCATCATCTCAGAACCTAATGTTTGCACAATGAAACAAACATGTACCACAGTTTATTGCAAACTCTCACATCTCTCTTGACAAATGTGGGTTAAGGAACATCCTGTTGATCATGGAGGCATTTATTGGGAGTTTATCAAGTGTCTGAGACAAATCATGTTGTATGTTCAGGAGCTTGTCTGAGACAACTCCTTTTTGTTGTTTTGTCACTTATGAGATCCAATCGAACATGTTTCTTCTTCCTCATCCACATTGATATTTCAGTTTTTTGAGAAGAAAATTTTGTTCTTCGATCTTGATGTACCTTCACAAGAAGTTGTTGCTTGTTTCCAGTACTGTTCATGCTTTTGTGCAACTACAGCAGCCAATGGTGCAGTTTTCTTCTAACTTGTCATTCAAAATCTGCTCTTTATATCTAATTGGAAATATAAAGGCTGTGTAACTGAGGCAATTTAGCATAATCAAGAAGATAACATGGCTGGGAAATGGCATATTTGGCATACTGAGGATATCCAGATACTGTTCATGGAAAAGCCATTAAGGTTGATATAATCTCACTAATGCTATTATTCCTTAGTAATTACTGTGCAAAACCATCAGGTTAATTGAACATGGGCTGTCTAGCTCACCTAACAATTTTTTTTGGTACAAAAGCTCACCTAATATTATAGAACACTTGAAAAGTACCTCAGGTGGTATGCTTCACAAGCCACAGGTTTCTTGAGGATGCCTTTCAGCCAATCTAATCCCACACTCCACAGATAGACTTGGATGCTTCATTCATTTGCACAAACCCACACTCCACATGCATAACAGAGTATAGAAACAATCAAAGAATAAATAAGCTGGTGGTGGACATGATTCATATGATTCATGGGACAGTGGTATCCAGGTTGCAAGACACACTGTTGCACTGATGAACATCTCAACCTAAGGGATGGCAATGAGTGGCTTGTGTGTGCATGACATTGATGGGATTCTAGCTCTGCTACTTGCACTTCTTGGACCACCTCTTTGCTGTCGCTTCAGATTTGGAGGCTGGTGTTTGTTTCATTATGTGGCAGAGGGAGGACCATTTGAAGGCCTTGATGTTGTTCAAGTGTCTCATTTCATACAAACCTCTACAATAGGCTGCAAAGTCTAATATTATTAGGGATGTAATGGCTTCATGACTTATTCTGTTCAAATCATTACAAGTAATGCCAAGATGAAGAGCTGTTGCTTGTGTCCACTGATCAAATTGAGCTCTTGAAGCAAGGGAATGACTCCAACACAAGCTGAGATTGAGAAATTGATGGATCACAAAAGAAAAAAGGGATATCTACAAATCCACAACATCAATATAGATGAGTCTCAACAGACATTATATTAGTTAGTGCACTCCTAGATAGTTGATTGGTATCATGTTCAAGTTCATGTGATAATATTTATATGCCATTTAATATAATAAAAAATTAAATATTTTGAAAACATCAATGCAGAAACAAAGCTTGATGTCTTAGAAATATATAAGTGAACAGCTCAAGTGACCATCAATGCTATATTATCATTTCAAATTAATTATTATATATCATATATATATATATATATATATATATAACCCAAGTGCTTACCTAATATATGCTACTCTAATTAATCTTCCTTAAATGATTTCCTCTTGACTGTTGAAGGTATTTGAAGAGAAATATATGTTTTTTATACTTGAAATATTTTCTTTGATTCAAACTAACTACTAACAACTATGATAAGCAATGGCTAATGACATACACACAATTTTCAAAGTTGAATTTCTACCCTTCACATTTAATCTTCATTGGTTGTTGTTAATTGAAACTCTAATTGATATTAATGTATTTTAAAACTTGTTAAGATGTTAAGAATATGTTTTACATTGACTTCTACTCATATCAGTTGCATTAGTGAAATATAACCCATGGAAGATGCAAGTTTACTTAGTGGGCTCCTCAAAATATAAATATTCCATTGCTTTCTCCTTAGTTTTAGTCTTTAGATTTTTAGAAATGTGAAATTAATTTCACTGAGTAAAACTAGTTAAAATGGCTGAAGTTAGGTTAAGTGTCCTCTCCAATGATTGCATGCATTGAATAATAGTAAGAAGACAAGATGATGTAAATCAAAATTATAATTGGAGAGGCTAACACATAATAATTATGTGTCAAATGCTTGTGATAATATTAATGAATCATGAATCCCTAATGTCCAAAAGAATTAGGAGGAGAGCTAGATTTAAAAAAATAAAAAAATCAGTTTCCATGGATTAAACATGTCAATAAAGACTTGAATTAGTGCCAAGTGTAACTTTGTGGTCAACTAAGTTCAAGTTAGATACATGTCTTTTCATGTTGTACACCTTCATTGCTTCTTAACATTTTTGTCATGGATTTATACCTAATATTAAATAAAACCCCTTTTTTTTTAGGTGAAGAAGCAATTGATGACAAGATTAGTGCAAAAACTACATCAACATAGATCATAGGGAGGGAATATAGACACCCAAATGCATTCTAAAGGACTTCATTCACCACTCAATATTTGTATATTTGTTGAGGGAAAAATATTTCGAAATCAAAAAGACAAATCAAACAATAATAATTAACGAACATATCAAAAAGTCAATATAATATCTAATTATAAGTTCTCTTTAGTTAAATCTGACTTAAGTACAAATCCTGTTATACAAATTTCAAAGATTTTTTTTTATTTTTTTCTCTATTTTTTTAGAATTAATTTCTCACGTCTTACTTTTGTCTTAAAATTTAAAAATATATAAGATATTTTTAGAATAAACAAATAATTCTAAATCACAAAAAGAAATTTCCATTTGAATTTCTAATTCGTCAAGGAAATAGAATCCTAAAAACACTTGACTTCTCCCCACCATCAACACCCCACCCTCTCTCTCTCTCTCTCTCTCTCTCTCTCTCTCTCTCTCTCTCTCTCTCTCTCCATATATACATATATAATGAGTTGGAGCACTCTATCTCTCCACCCATCAGCACTGCAAGGAGAGACAGCGATGGCAGAGCTGGGGGAGGAGCCCCACGCCATCCCGCGAGTGGTCGCCGTCCTGTCCACCATCCTCGAGAGGCTCGCGGAGCGCAACGACGCCGTACGCCGGCCGCTCGCGCTGCACCACTGCGCCTCGGCCTTCCACGGGCTGACGAAGCCGGCCATATCGGTGCGCAGCTACCTGGAGCGCATCTTCCGGTACGCCAACTGCAGCCCCTCCTGCTACGTCGTCGCCTACATCTACATCGACCGCTTCCTGTGGCGCCACCCCGCCGTGTTCCTCGACTCCTTCAACGTCCACCGCTTCCTCATCACCAGCGTCCTCACCGCCGTCAAGTTCATGGATGACATGTAAGTCAACTGCTACTCTATCCGCGCTTCGATTTCCTCTGAAGCTGTTAAGTTCTTGGAATTAATTCCTTCCTGTTGTTTCTTCTTCACATCATCTTTCCTCAGCTTGCTAACTTCTGAGACTCGGTCGTGAATTAGGAATAAGAGCCTTTCTTGTTCAATAATTCCTGCCTTCTTCTTGCGGGAATTACAGATTCTTTCCTCGTGATGCAAACGCAGACAGACATGTTTTTCCCTGTAATCTTGATCCAATTCTTGATTTGTTTTATCTATCTTTTAGAGAGAGACTGTGAAATATCAGATTTCTTTGGTTGCCTCTTCTCCCTCTCTGCCCACCTCCCAGATGAGATCGAGTAGCGGAAAGGATCCATCTTTTGTTCCATGCTTTGGTCATTAATCTCCTGTTCCTAATAGAATAGAATGTGCCACAAGATAGTTTGATTGGCATGTAGATCCAAATTCTCTGTGCTTGACAATTAAGATCAAATCTGTTGATAGATTTGGACAGATGATAGAATCTTTATCATGCCAAGATGAATTGGACCGCAAATGAAATGTGAAAGTTGGCACAAATCATTTAAGTCATTCGGCAGAAAAGCATGTGCATATAATTGTGCTCTCTTACAGTTGTGCAAAGAGTCAATTAGATGGGGGTTTGGTGGGTTTAGATGGCATCGTATAACTCCAAAGAAACCACGCATCCATCTCTAAGATTACATCAAGAAGAAGATATTGCCATGTTGGTATCTGATAATTAATTTAGTGGTGTCTCGTTATTATTGGCACACTGTCACATCTTTATTTTGATGTTAACCAGAAGGAAAAAATAATAACAGAAGTCATGTAAACCAGTTCGCAATGTTTTCCAGTGTTTTATGGTGACATCCTACCTTAATCCCCATGTTGACAGTCGTGTGAGTCCCTTTAAAGGATATTTATTTGTTGATCATTTTTCCAAGAAAATATGGTTTACATGTCATGGGTTTTGGCCACCAATTAATTTATTGCTGCTGTTGTGTTCATACAGATACTACAACAATGCATACTTTGCAAAGGTGGGGGGGATCAGCTTGATGGAGATGAACTACCTGGAAGTGGATTTCTTGTTTGGGGTGGGTTTCGAGTTGAATGTAACCCCTGTCATCTTCAGCTCCTACTGCTCGACACTTCAGAGGGAAATGTACTTGGAATCACCTGCTTCTCCTCCAAGGTTGCACTGCTGCTTGACAGAAGAAGAATCCAGCAGCTGCCAGCAGAAGCAGCAGCTTGCTGTCTGAGGGCTGTCTTTTGGTACATAAACATAGATCAGCGTGTAGTTAGATGCATGATGGACAGGTCGATACCACCGCTGCCTCTACTTTCGGGTTCCATGGATTCCAACCTCTGGGCATGTGACAGTCATTTTTATGCTTCTCTTTTTCTGTAGGTTTCTTATCTGGTAAATGGTTGTGTACAGAATGGGATTCTCAGTATGCCAGTTGAGGTCTTTCATTTGGTTACTGGTTCATGTTCAGTGAATGCTTTGTGCCAACCACTGCTACAATGGTAATAATAGTTTGAGATCTGGAATGGGTACTCTATGGTGTATATTATATTCATGGTAGGCATAGGTTCTTGGGGAAGGAACAATATGAGTGGGGTGCATCAAACTGGTGGGATCCTGGAAAAGCCACTGGCATGTTTGGCATGTTATGGAGAGGGAGAGGGAGAGAGAGAGAGGGAGAGAGGCATTGTCCTGCTAATTAGTTTGTGAAGGCAGCACTTTGCTGCTACAATAACTACAACAAAAGTGCACACAGGCCATTTGGAGAGAACGTGGTATTGGAACTTTGGCTTGGCACTTGCTAAAGTAATCAAGAAAAGCAGCTGGCCATTGGAAGGCCATGTGAGCCTTCCGCTCTCCTCATGCATCCCCCACATGGCCCTCCTCACCCTGTCCTCCACAGTGCTCTCTCTCTCTCTCTCTCTATCTATCTATCTATTGGAATTTTATTATTTAGGCTTTTGGCACCCAACTTTGCGATTTTTCTTTGGCAAGCCGAATCGCACAATCCAACACCAGAGGAAACTGTGTTCAATAGAGATCAAAATTCTACAAAGTTTTAGCTGAAATATGGCAAGTGAGTCGAGTTTATCAATAAGGTGTCGTTGATATATGTAATGGGAAGTGTGATGGTTTTGGAAGCAAAGAAAAAGGATGAATTGGTTGGTACTTATTGTCATTACTCAGCGAGCTGAATTATTTGGGTCCCTTTATCTATTGGACACGCTTGAATAGAGTTATTATATTGGTAAAAAGGTTTGAAATGAGTACAAATAATACGAAAATATATATCGAGTTTTGGACACTTTGGTAGATAATCTGCTTGGAGCATAAATTAAATGAAATACACAGATATACCTGTATAATCTTTCTCATGTCACACACCTGCAGGTTTCTATGTCTTCTCTTTGCTCTCCATCAATCCAATATGGCGCCCAAACTGCACACCCCGGATCATCATCATCCCTACGCTGCGGTACGTTCTCCGCCATGCTCCTTACCTCAATAGCAGATGTTGCACTGGCATTGCCGATCTTGGTTTCATCTCGTCTGTGTTTCGGTTTTCCAGATGATTGCTGCCGCAATCCGGTTCTTGCCGGAGGAAGGAGGCTCGACGGAGTAGGCGATATCCGACTGCATCCGTGCCAATTACGATGGCATCCCGTGGGGGCACGACACGCGCCTCCCTTACTACCTCAACAAGCTCACCAAGCGGGGAGAGTTTGTCGTCGGCACGCCAGGCCAGTACACGATGGTCAACGATGACAGGTAGACTGTTCGGGCATCGATGGCTCCTGGCCCTCGCGATGCTGAGTTAAACCTTGACGACATGTCAGGGACATCGAAGACGACACCTGCTCCCAGAGGAGGCTCTACTAGGTCACGTTAGAATTAAACTTGTCATTATATAGTGTATCAAAATAGAGATGAATCAAATATTTATAGAATGATAAATCAAATTAACTATTGACTGTTGAAAGAGTCTTTGAAAAAGAATGATTTATATTAAATATAATTAATATAATATATTTATGAAAACTATATAAACCTCATAGGATCATGAAACATGCAGTGTTATTAAAATTATAAAAAACTTTGAATGAAACATAAAAGATTTTATCGTATACTATTCTTCCCTTGTGTGATAGATGTATTTCCTAATTCGACATGACGAGGACAGGCGCAAAGCAGCTAACGTTGTAGAGCAGCAAGATGATGGCGGTGGCGGTGGCGGTGGCGGTGACGGTGGAGATGGTTCCTCCGTTCGCAGACTTCGAGGAACGCTGTCCCAGAAGAGGACTAGAGTTAATCTAATGATGACCAACAGGAATCAGAGCCAACATCAACAGAAGATGGTGGTGGAGATGGTTGCCTGGTGCAGACATACCATGGAAGGCGTCTCCCCGGTGCCTACGAACTCCTTGGAGACCGCAGACGCGCCCAATCTTCGTCGCAGCCAAAGCCCATCGGATATAGTAACGTCGGCGACGGCCTTTCGACGCCTCCACATGCCGAGACTCTGCCTTCTGAACCAGACAGACAATGTCGAAGGAATGGAGAACGTACTTGCATTGCCATGTCAAGGGCCACTGGGGACTGCTAACGAAGAAGAACCCCCATCGGTAGATGGGGCTCAACGTTGGCCTCAGACAGAGGCAACTGGCGACGCCAGCAATGGCAAGGGCAAGCACGGCGAAGCAGAGCAAGGGATGCTGCACACCAACGGAATTGGCAACGATGGCTTCTTATTTTACAAGCGCCAGGGTCGAGGCCGACCTCCCCAACGCAAGGCAGGTGTTGGAGGAGGCAACAAGCCAAGCCATATGAGTCGGTCAACAATTTGACTTTTTTCGCATGCCGTCGACATCACTATTCCATTCCTATTTATTCCAAGAAAGAAGAATGCTGTAATTACTGAGGATAAAATCTACAAAATGGGAATGCAACATTTGTCCCATGGGATATAATTCTGCGTCGTTTAATAGTGGCAAAGGAGTGTGACTCAGTCCCATCAAACAGAATAAAATACATCACAAATATAAGCTTTCATAACTCATTTGTAACAAGAGGTGTTTGAGTCGAAAGAACGAGTACAAGCATCACCTTGTGGCCACATAATCAATTTTAGTAACATATAATGGAGAAACAAAATGTAAAATATTGCTCTGCATTTAAATGTTCACGCTAACTTGCAGAGGTGCTATTGAGAATGGTGTATGCATCAATGTTCCTGTAAACTAGAAAAAAAAATGGTAGTGAATTATGAGAATGGAAACCTTTCGGTTTTTTTCCGCCAAATCCATTGATTGATTGAAGTAGAATCAAAGTGCATTTCCTATGCTTCCCAGCCCCTCAGGAGAGTTGCACGAGCAACCCTATTTACGCCCAGGGTAAATGCTCCCATGCGAAGGTTGCAGTCATGGGTCTTGCACATTGCCTTGATATTGTTGAAAGCACTCCTCATGTACTTGTGAAGCTCCATGTTCACCTTCTCTTCATCCCACATGAATCCTTGGATGTTCTACCAAGTTCGTAGAGACAAAGAAAATGGTGACCTCAATGTTGCATGTATTGGAAAATCGACTCGGGGTAATGTGATGGAGTACCTGAACCCACTCGAAGTAGCTGACAGTTACACCCCCAGCATTTGCATAAATGTCAGGTAGTACTGGAATGCCCTTTTTGGCAAATATCTATGATCAAAACACAAATAGGAATCAGATTAGCGTCGACCTAGTCTCCTGCCTAGCACACAGGTTCCTTAAAAATCATATTGCTATTTGGTATGTCACATAACATTAGATTTGCTTACTCCAAGAGAACTAATTAAATTATGCTGAAAATTGATAAGACACTGTACCTCATCTGCTTCAGGATCAGTTGGATGATTGGCAGCTTCAACAATGTATTTAGCCTTCACATTGGCAGCATTATCCCTAAGAATATATCAAATAATTTCTGAATGAATACCTAGTAATAGACAACCGTATTTAAACATTAAATGACAAGGACAAAGAAATGAATTTAAGAAAACCACCAGACTTCTATAATAGAAAGAATGATAAACTAGGCCCAACTGTATTCACAAATTTTGGCCCAATGACACACAACCCATGAACAAAAAATTCACTTGCTGCCGCCCTCTGGATGAGAAGATCAATGACTTGTAATATGTATCAGGAAACATAAGCGGAAAGATGAAAGTAGAAGAAGGAAAAAAAGAAATTAGCTGCCTACAAATGCTCATGAACTTGATAAAGCTTTGAGCCTCAGATAATATTTAACCAATTATGCTTGATATGCTTGCCTTAAAGCAAAAATTGATGTAGTGTGTGTATGCCTAAACTTGAAAAATCACTCGACTCAACAATGTTTCCCAAAAAAATTGTGAGCCTATTGATGAGAATTTAGGATGATAAAGGACAGATTCTGGCAGTGGTAGGGTAACTAATAAAAAAAAAAAAACATAAGCAGAGGAAATGTGATAAAAACCTGTTCAGTACACCACCCAAGGCACTAGGAATGAGAACATCACATTCATGCACAAGCAACTCGTCCTTATCCAGTGGATCTGCCCCTTTGAAGTCCTTCACAGCACCACCCTCACTTCTATGCTTAATCAAAGCAGGAATGTCTATGCCATTAGGATTTTTGATAGCACCAGTAATATCTCCAATTGCAATCACCTTGCCCCCTTCCTCGTGAAGGATTTGTGCAGCCCATGAGCCAACATTTCCAAAACCCTGAAGATTTGAAAGTATCGAATCACCTTGACATGCTATTCAATGGCAGACACATAAATAGCATGGACATGTTTCGGTCTAGATTCATCTTAGCTATTGTTTTTCTATTCTATTAGACAAGATAATAAGAATCTGACATCAGGTTCACCTGGATAACAAAGGTCGATCCTGAAATAGATTTCCCATGTTCAGCCAATAAAGACTTAGTTGCATATATGACACCTCGTCCTGTAGCAGCTTCCCTACCTAAGGATCCACCAAGATCCTACAACGGCACATGCATAAGGACACATTAGCTGAAAGACTTGAATTTCAACAAGTATCAAAGACCAATATTAATTAGATTTACTTACTATTGGCTTTCCTGTCACAACAGCTGGCGAGTGTCCATGGAACTTGGAGTACTCGTCTAGGATCCAAGCCATCGTCTGCCCAAAAGTAACAAAGTCAAAAATATCAACATCTTGTAACAAATGTACAAACCAGATCCATTTTTCTTTGATGACGGAAAGCAGCTCTACTTGTTTACAGATAATAAACTATCAAAACATAAAATGAGTACCTGGGCATTTGTTCCCATGTCGGGTGCTGGAACATCTGTATGAATTCCAATAAGGTCATGAATCTTCTGTGTGAAGACACGAGTCAGGCGTTCCAGCTCACTCTTACTTAGTTCACTTGGGGAACATCCAATTCCACCCTTTGCTCCACCATATGGTATGTCTGCTACAGCTGTCTTCCATGTCATGAGTTGAGCCAGAGCATTTACCTCATCAGGGTCAACCTTTCAAGAGAGTCACAAAGCAAATTTGAGAATAGCAGAAGCAACCTAAGAAATGCTCCATTAGAAAGAACACTAATAAAATGACTCATGGTGAAAAAGTGGATCTAGAGTTGACTGATTATAGCAGGACTGGCTGACAGCACTAACAAACACCATCTAATGTCTGTACTCACACTTGAGTTACAAGAGGCACAGGAATCAATCATGAATTTCCTCTTGGACTAGTTGTTATCCACAAAGGTGAGAACATTTTCTTTAATTAATGTGTGGTAAAACAGAGAGGGAAAGAGAACTGAGGACTGACACATCAATATGCAACAAGGAAGGTTATAAAGTAAGGAGGAGAAACACTGAAGTTGACTAACATATTCGGCTTGGAAAAGTAACAATTGCAACTTCAATAGTGTTGCACAAAATCAAAGAACTAATTTTTCCAGCCCAACACCTAATGTTTAATTTCTAGCACGATATGACAGGGGAATAGATCTAGCTGGCACAAGCCAGATGTGGAAAGTTCCTTAAGTTCAGCAGGGATTCTCGTACCTATACCGTGCCAAAATGACAGAGCAGAATTTCAAAACTCCTGCCAGACTCGAAAGCATGGTCTAAATATTACATCAACAGAAAGCTAAAATCAGGAACCTAAAAGTCAATGCAGTTGTTCTAAATTCCAGAAGCCTTTGGATCTTCATATCCTCTGCATCGTTGTAATTCATGCCAGCAAAACAAGCATTACTTGATGAAAATTAGCAGAGATAGCATGAAATTTTACTGTTGGCCTTCCTATTGCTTGTGGCTGTGGCATGTGGTGTAATGTGTTCGACTCATCCTAAATGGACTAACAGACATAAGTATTAAGCTTATCAAGTGTAACCAAGTCAGAGAATTAGTTCACTGTAACTTCTTTGTAGAAGTCCTGGAACTCACACTTCCTAATTAGATACTCTTCTGGGAAGACTTTAAATACAACCAACTCATACCGAGTTTCCTTGCTGTCCATGATTTTCAACATTAGATGTCAATATATAGGCATGAAACTCTTCCCAATAACCAGAAATTGCTCAAAGGAAACAGCCGCACTAAGGTCTCCTCCAACTGGAGTCATCCATCACCCACAATGCCAATCAACTACCCCAAAACAAAAATTGATAGGTTATAAGACATATAATAACAGCTCATCAACCATGGGGTGCCTTTTGATATCCACCAATTTATCTAGTCTTAATAAGTTATTAAAGAACACTGACAAGTACATAATCTACAAGTGAAGTCTACTGGAAATGCTTGGTACAGTAAGTTATTACCAAGAACCAAGTTAAGATAACCAAGCAACCTGACATACTAATTCGCCTAACCTAAAGAAGAAAAAAGATTATCCAACAAATCCCAAGATCAACCAGAAAAAAAACAAGAAAGACAGCAAGTCAAAGCAAACATCAACGATCTGTTGATCAAGCATGCATATTGAACAGGTACCAAATTCGAAGATCCTATGCAATTTTCGTCATTGTAAGCAACAGCAAGACTACGGACGTTCTTATCGTGCCTAATTCTTCCAAGAAGTAAGCAATCTAAATCGAACACGCAAAGACCAACGGAGATGCTTGATTCAGGCCACAAAAACTCACCTCGTGGTGATACCGAATCCCTCCCTTCATCGGCCCACGGGCATTGTCATGCTGGACTCTAAACCCAACGTACGAAGCCAAGGTGCCATCATCCTTGGGGATCGTACACTCCACCTGCAAAACACACCCCCCGGCACACGATCAACACCCAAGAGCTGAACCCAGCTACCAAAAGAGGGGGTCAAGACGCCGGTCCCCGCCCATACCTTGATCTCCCTGAAGGGGATCAACAGGCTCTTCTCCAGCTTGGAATCGAGGCCGAGGATCCGGGCGGCCTGCCGGAAGTTACGGCTCGTGGCGGCGAGGGCGTTCATGGCGACCGGGGACGTCAAAGAAATCCTTCTGCGAAGGAGAGATGTAGACGGTTGTGGTAGGGGATTGGGGAGAGACGGAGGAGGGTATTAATAGGGCGAAGAGGAGGGTGATCGATTACATTGGAATTGGGATTAGAATAGTATGACAGATTTGGTTAAATGGGAAGGAGGGGGGGAATGAAGAGGGAGATGGATGGAGCGATACGGAACGACACATGTCGGAGTAAGAATATATAAAAAAAAGGCCTTTATAATTAAAATTTAATGTACATTATTTTTTTGGTCAAAAGAGAGAAAAATTATAAATCAAAACTTTACATCAATTTATTTTATTTTTATTTTCGATATTGTGGAGGGTTGGACTTGTAGTCCTTCAAAGTAAATATAACCTTTGTACTTTACGTTAATTTTAACATTAAAGCAGACCGAGTTCGCGTTTTATTTCGGATTACCGCTTTTGCTACTCGTCCGAAGCCGTCGCCTCGGGCCACACGGTGAGGTGGTCGAAACGGGTACGCAACGGATGGGGATGGGAAACGTTTCAGTTGTTTACCTGTTGGCAAAAGCGTTGAGAAACAACGGAGGTGTGTTGACGTGCAAGAGAAAAAGGAAGAAGACGCAAAGAAGCCTTTTTTCACCTCTGTTATTTTGCACGCTGGTGATGACTCGAGCGACGACTAGAAGATGATCACATCCGCTCGTTCCGAATTGGAGGGTGATGGAAGCTAGGAATTGGAAGTCGTTTAAGTGATTAAAAGATAATGCCATGCGATCAAGTGATTAAAGACTAGGAAATATTATATAATGTCATGATTAAGTTGGCTCGCTTCCTAACAATTAAAAAAATCCAACATGATATTAATATTTTTATTAAAAAATAAAAAAGAAAAAAACACCAGAGGTCGGCGGAGTAGTTGGGAATCGACAGCGGATCCGCATTTGGCGTGGTTGATTCGCGGTGGTCTCGATAAGGACAGCGGCCGCCAGCGTGATAAGGAGCAGCACCGCGTGGTTCCCGCTATGTTGGCGATGACGTGGGTGGATGGACGCGGCGACCGGGCTGAGCTGTTCAAGATAAGCATGGTCCGCTCTCCGCGTCCGTGCTTACGTCACGTGGAACGCCGTGGAAAGCAGAAAGATTTTGAATTCGGGAACGTCTCCTTAAATATTGGATATACTCGAGGACTTCCTATTCGAGATAATGGATGAATGAGGAATGCATTGTCCTTAAAAATGATTATTTTCTTAACATTTTCCAGAATATGACCAATATAGGCAACAAAAAGCAAAACGAAAAGGGAAGGAAAAAAAAAAACTTGTGCAAAGTAGATAGAGCTCGATTGATATGCTGCTTGTATCCGCGAATGGATGTAGCATAGTAATGCAATTTACATAGGGCTCGTGTAATGTTTGTTTAAACAAACGCGTGGAAAATGCATGTTTAATCAATTCAGCTACAACTTGATTGAGACGCTCGTTCAATGCATGTTTATGATTGGGTTGGTCGAATGATGAAGCCACAAAATGAGGACATGTGATGACACAAAGCCAAACACGAGGAAGCCACCACGAAGAAGAGGGCGGTGTGTGTTTGTTGCCAGGAATTCAACTCCATTTCCGTGAAGTTGTTCCCTTGCTGCTTGAGTTTCTTGCAATAGGCTCCACCTTGAAGTACTGGTATTTTAATTGACCGGTCAAAATCTTGACATAGTCGAACATGAATCATAACTTCATGTTACATGCTGTGTCATGATACTACATCATATCAAACAAACATATCAACAGGGTTGAGAAATCATTTCAAGCAAAGTGTTTATCTCAACAACCACGACACCTTGAGAATTGGATACCAATTTGGCTAACGCTACATCTACCCTCTTGAGGATTGACAACTCTTAACTTGAAATAATGAATAAGATCTAAGCTTCAATACGAACATCCATGTCAGTATGCCATGAGAACCTTCTGGGTGGAAGTTTGAGAGTGCAAAACCCACAAGCCACAGACTTCATCAGTAAAGAAAACTGAAGCAGCAACGCATCCTAGAGAGTGCTTTGTAGTTTCTTCGAAGCCATCAATACCATGAAATATTGTTATGTAAGCTATGCTCCATATCAGGACATAGGCCCTGTCCACCAAAACCATAAAGGGTAAATGAACTAATATTAACCTAATCCATACAAATGGCAGGAAAAAAAATCTGAAAAAGTTTGCCCATCATGAGCTGTATGTTCCAATTCATTCAACTGAAAATGTGATCGTAGAAAATATGTTTCCCCCATTGATTGAGAAAAAAACTTAATTTTAGATGTGATTCTCAGCGGTGTCAATGCGTGATCGTATAATAAATAGATATAAAAACGATAAAACCAAGCAACAAGACAAAGTGAATGGATGGATATAAACTGCACATAAATCAAACAAGTTAACTAATCTACAGATGGATTAAAACTTAACCATATAGCACACCCAGACCCATCCCATGCCCTAATCCAATCAACTTCCACATATATATAAAGTAATCCTGGTCATCCATATCAATAACAAGCCATAAAAGAAAAAAAAAATTGATAGAACTATGTTTTTACAGAAAAATAGTTGACTATTAGACTAGCATTATTAAATCACAAACAACAACATATCATATTAACTTGTCTGTAAGATATTCATCTGAATCCCTGCTTTTGACATGAACTTCTAAGAATAAATCCTATGCTCTGCACACAGTTAAAATAATGCTTAGGACTTGTTCGAGAGGCAAAAAGAAACCAATCTTGTTTCTCTAAATATATGTAGGAAAGTATTCCAAAAGGATGACTTACCAACAAAATTTGAAATATATATATATATATATATATATATATATATGTTAAAGGCTCCAGGAGCATCAAAATGCCAATATACCTTAAAGCCTAAGCAAGAGGCACAGACAAGCAACTCTGAGTAATGCCATAGGCCGTAAGCATTCATGACAAATTATTTTAGACATAGCAGAACTAAGATGTAAAAGTTATTAACTAATATCAAACAATTGAAAAAATATTTTGGCACATTAGCTCAAAAAATTAAAGTGTATTGTCTAGTTCTAGATGCAGCATGGATAAAGCAAAAGTATGACAGCAGCAAAAGACAAAATAACATCGATGAGTGGAAGAAAGAAAATGAAGAATACAAAAGATGTATGTCGAAACAAATAAAGTGAGAATGGAGATGACATGGAGGAACTCAATCTAAAGCATTGAGTATAATCGAAGAATCAAAATAAGACAGTCACATGAATGTAGCTAGAGAATGCCTACATAGAAGCAAACCTGATCATTTTCTTCTAGGAATGATTTGGCCCTTTCAATCTTCTTTCCTGCAATTTATAAAGGACTTGTGATTACTTGTTATGCATTAAATATCATATAGATGGATATATATACTTTCTATAAGCACCATAATTCTATATATCAAGGAAAAGAATCACAAAGTATTAATTAAGTACTAAAGCTAAGGCTTTTTAAGACAGTTTAAGTTAAAAAGGCAATGGGTTTAGACAAAATATAGGATACTAATGTCATGACTCAAGTGGCTTTTATAAACCTTAGCACATCACTGAAATGCTTCACCCTAAGATTTTGGTGCTCGCTATATAAAACATAGCTACATCGCCACTAATTCCTACTTTTCCAACATGGTTTTCTAAAAGTGTCATAATCTCTCCACTCGAGTTCTTAAGCCAAAGATATCACTACTTAACCATGTAAGTCATTTATGCCAATCAACCTATTTGTAGTCATTTACTATGAGAATGGGGCATCACACTTAATCAAGTTTCTTTACAATGTTTTCCTTCTGAATATGGATGCAAGTTTAAACTTTAAAAAAAAGGCTGGAATAGGCGGCCTTGTAGATTTCTTAGGTCAAGTCAGACTAACCTAATTAATACATCAGAGGTCTGCAAATCAATTAACTATATAGCTTCACAGTATCAAAGTTCCATCAAGGTCCAGTTGTTGGCTTATAAGAGGAGCAGTTTCATAGCTGGTTCCCTGGCAGCTCAACATATTGGATATGTCAAGTTATAAGAGAACTCATATGTCACCCTATCAAATCAAAGACATGGCAAATTTACACCAAATCTAACAGAAAAATGACATAGATAATTCATGCATTCACCTCTTGGATGCATGTTTTACTGGACCAACATTATGACTCTAAAGCCATATCACCTGTCAAATAAAAGTTAATTATTGATTACCAGGTCCCAAATATCATGTTAATCAGGAACATGAATGATAATGTTAAGAAATGTATGGTATAGGCAAACCAAATGATATAAATGAGAAAATTGCTAATATGATCAAGGCATTCTAGATACTAGTAAACATACTTTCTCTTCCTACGATCTCCCATGGTATTTCTGATGTCACTCTTTGGGATGGCAGATCCAGGTTGTCCCACAAACTGCAGTGGAGAGAGTGCTGAGGCAGCAGAAGTCATAGGTGGCATTGATGGAAGTGGAGGTGGAGCTGCATTTGGAATCGGCGCTCCAGCCGGAAGAGGAGCTGGAGCTGGAGCTGAAGCTGGAACTGAAGGAGGTTCAGGAAGAGAACGCGGTAGAATGTGCTTCAATCTGTTGTTCCTGTAGTTCTTCCAGAAATAGTACTGTTGCCGATGAGCCAACTCCTATGTGAAATGTTGCAGAGAATTGTTAGTAATCTATGAAAACTAAAATCATCACATGGGATGAGAACTCAGAAAAGCATTCTTCACAAAAAAAAATTCAGATTGACTTTAAACCTCAAGAAGGTAGGTTAGGATTTGCAACAGGAAAAAACAGAGATGGCACTGAGAAGATTAGAAATTGGATCCACCACATTTTTTCTTAACAATCTCAGCAAGCTATTTTCAAGGATAAGTAAGATTTACCATTCTATATAGTCCAATATGCATGTTGAACCATGACCATTTAGATAGCAAACAAATCTGTGAAGTTGTCAAAACAGCATACACCATTTACCAAATACCCATGTTTCACTTGATTTATGTTTTATCGTAAAACTCAGTAAAGTAGCTAATCACAATCATAAACAAAAAAATCGAAGACAACCATATTCATTCAGATTCAAATTCCTAGTATTAGAGGCCCTTTAGTCATTATGCATTGTTCATCTTCTTCAAATGATAATTAGCAGTTCAAGTTAATGTGACAATAGAAAGCATCAGATACTTGAAATATCACAAAACAGAAGCATTAGAAAGAACGTAACAACCAGTAGCTAGTCGAAAGATTATTATCATCCTAACAAATGAATATCCAAAATACATCCAGACAAAAACAATAACTTTTCCTTCCTTGTAACAAGTCATAAAAAGCATTACAGCATAAGAGCCTAATATTAAAACTAAGAAACTAAGAACCCTATATTTACCATACAGAAAAAATAAATAAAATAAGATCATTCACAATGATCACATGCTGGTAACATTACCTTGCTACCAGGATGTGCCATTGCATTCCGAAAGTTAGCATTTTGGAGAAGCTCAAGAAAGAAGAGGCAATGAGGATACCTGTGATCAAAACAAGGCATCAGTTAGTGACACCAAACAAGTAAATATTTCTTGTGTAATCATCTTTGAAGAAGATAACCATTTGCGTACAGAAAGATGAATTTATGGTGATCATCATGTCGCTTTTTAGCTTCACTCACATTATGAACTTTATGTACTCAGGCCTTTGCCAATATTTTAGATATTTTAAGTATCCGATGAAGGCCTCATCCTCAAAATAGCGATTTTGAGCAAGATCTGTTTGGAGCAAAATAAGGAAATACATCATGTGAGATAAAGTAATGGAGAACACCACATGAAGAGTAATATTAATAGATAGCTTATTTCCAAATTCATCTTTTTTTTTTATAAACAAAAAACATCATCGAGCTAACATATCAAAGAACCTAAGGCTGAAACTTAGTGCTGTTTTTTTATAAAGAAATCATCCGTCAAGTGGTTTTTATAAGAACGAATACAATCCTGAATGCCTGTTTTAGAACGAGACACCCATTATTTAAGATAGATTGATCAGAATATGACCCTCATCAGACAGCAAATGATTAGGTTTTTCTCCCAAGTTACACGCAACAAATGCAGCAATGGTTTCATAAACAATATAATTTTCCATCAAAATGCGTACAAATATAAGAAACTACAACAAGGTAGACACTAATTTTAACATGCACTTAAGGAGCTGTTAAATTCTAAAGGGCTGAAACCCTCTGTCGTCTCTTGAGATTCAAATGAAAAAAAAAAAAAAAAAATTTCACCGTCAAGACTTTCCAAAGAAGAAATAAGAGGGACAAAAATCACTCAGCATACTGAATTTGGCTACAAATACACAGACCTCAAATATCAGATATTTAAGAGTTACGAAAGCAAGTAATTTAGTGTATTTTCCATCATTCAATATGGAACGACGGGAATGCCACAATCTCACAAGATCCAATTACAGTTGTACACGAGCAAACCATTTCTGCCTAAATAGTTCTCAAAAAACGAACACAAGCTTTCTAGATTCATGGGGAAGCATATAGAAATGCGACAGACTACCCTTTTTCTGTCGCACAGTAACTCACAGTGGATGTAAGTCGGGTTGGAGAGACATTGAACGAACTCCAGCTCGAGAAGAAATCGTTGGCGACCATCGTCAGGGTCCTTGTAAGGGTTCTTAGATCTGTACAGAAACACCTCATAAGGATGACAGAACAAGGAGCAAACAGAAACCTACGATCTAACAAAATCAGCGACCGAGAAAGAGAGGGACAAGAGGTTAGGGGAAGAAGCATTTACGAAGTTTGGGATTCAGCGGGACGATCCGCGTCGTCTCTGCCGGAAGCCATCACAGCAACCCTAAGGCGCCAAGAGTTAGGGTAGAGCGAAAAAGACTTGAATGGAATCGATTAGACTGAGAGCATCGTAGAATCCAATTGGGCTGCATCGGACCGGCTTGTATTCTCTTTAAACGGGTCTGGTTGTAGAGTTCAATACGGCCTATTTGTAAGGGCAAATTCCCAAACTTGAAACGTTTTTAAGGATAAATCCTTCGTACAATTGCAAACCAACTTACTTTTTACAACCCTCTCTTTATTATTTTATTATTTTATTATTGATAACCCTTTTATTAGTGATAATATCTTTTTTTAATAACATATTTATTTTATTATTTACTATCTTAATATTACTTTCTTTTTTTTTCTTCTGCATAACCTCTAATTTCATCATCATCATTATTGTCTTAATATTCTCGTAAAGAAAAAATAGAAAGAATAAAAATAAAGAAAGAAGGATAAAAATATGAGGACCAAGAGGAGGAGAAGGAAGATGAGAACATCCGTAAAACGATAGTTTAAAAATATTATTTAAAAAAAATATAATTTTTAATAATAAAAAAAATTATAAATTTTAATCCGTAGTGGTAAGGAGTTTATTTCTTATTATCAATTCAAAATTGATGACATTTTATCTTCAAATTAAACTTCTAGGCAATCCATATGGTATTTTATTTAAAAAAATATTATTGAGTATTTACTCAATATATCTCATCCAATTGATTTTCAACTGTTCGCATCCTTTTTTGTCACTTCGATGAAAATGATCCTTTGCCCTCCATCAATTGCCCCCAATCATTGTTACCTCTACTCTCATCACAAGCGATCTTGCTAGTTAGCTCATATTCTCTTCCTCCTTTTATTTTTTTCTCCTTCTCTCCATTCTTTCATGTTGTCAATCATTCTTTGTTTGCCTTCTCCTCTTCCAGTGAGGATAATAAAAGTGGAGGCGAGGGGAGTGATAAGATAAGCATAACAGTAAAAGTTTATTTTGATAAAATGCTCATCTTATGTGCATGTAACTATGATAAATGATAAATGTAGAAGTTTGTTATTAACTATCCTTTTTGCCATCGATTTTTTAAAAAATAATAAAATATTATTTTATTATATAACCAACATAGTATTATTATTTTTATTTTTTATTCTCTAATATTTTTTATTTTATTCTTGTTGCTAACATTATTCTATATCAATATCGTCATTACACACATTATTATTATCGATATCATATTCATTATATTCATTATAGATATCGCTTTTCATCCTCGATATCACTCTATTCATTGTTGATAACATTATTAATGCTTGTTTGATAATTCTTCGGTGTTTATTTTAGGTATGACTAAAGTTGACATCGTTTGATGCCGTGTGATCCCTTTAGTTGCCCCATGGATGTTTTTACAGGGAGAAAGAGAGAAGAGGATAAGAGAAAAAAATAAAATACGGAAAGGAGTAGGAGAGAGAAAGAATGGTATTTTCGTTTATTTAAAAATTACTTAAAAATATTTTAAAAATTAAATTAAATTAAAATTATAAATTATAAAAAGGGTTGCAAATACTGTTATCTTAAATGTAAAGACGTAGAAATTGTACATGTACAAGCAGCGCAAAAGCACGTACGTCTTTCCTCGGAGGGAAACGACGATATGAGAAGTGCCATAGGCGAACGTTCAAGATGCAATCAATCACGTTCAGGAATCCTTACCAATGACGTCCGCAACCTTTCTTGTCGCCTCTTTTAATCACGCTCTTACGAACGGTCGAGATGCGATCTATCGGGTTCCGGAATCCTAAATGCCAACGTGTCCTATGTTTACATTTCTACCCCTCACGGGCGAACGGGCAAGATGGAATCAATCGAGTTCGCGAATCCTGACCGCCGACGAGTCCTTATAATTACATTTCTACCTCTTTGCCATCCTTCTTCCTCGCTCGCTCTTCGATCCCAAAGAAGCGAGCGCGCTCCTTCCTCTCTCTCTTCTCCCCTCGGAGGGGAATAGACCACAGTAATTTTTCTTCAGATCCTGGTTCCTACGCCGAATTCGTTATCGTTATTCTTGAAATCGAGGTTCCTTTGGCCCCAGATTTGGCGATTCTTCTGGATTTCAGGGTTTCCGTTTGGTTCCTTTGCGGAAAGGCGCGGTGAATCTGTTTCGAGCTAGGTTCGGGGGAGACGGTAGAGTGGATCGGAGAGAGGAGGGAGATATGTATAGAGAGAGGGGAGGGAGCGGGTTGAAGGTGGAGATTGGAGCCGTTGATCGGAAGCGGATCAACGATGCCCTCGACAAGCATATGGAAAAGTCTCCGCCATCGGCTTCGAGGGGTTTGAACAGCAAGGAGAAGGATAGGCTGTCGGTGCCGTCCACCTCCTCCGGGAAGCAGCCTGAGCACCGGTCCTTGTCCAAGAACAAATGCTCAGATGGTGAAATTTCATTGTCCCTTTATTCTTTATTTGGTTTTGTTGTTTCTATTTAGGGATTTGTTTTGGAGCTGTGGACGACAAATAGTGACCTAAAAGACCTTTCGTATATGGATTTCTCGTCTTGATTATGTTTTTCTTTTATCTCAAGATCTGTTTTGGTTCGTAAATTGCTTATTATAACCACGTATGCAATTCAAATATAAGGTTTGTGTTTGGGAAAGATAAATTGCACATATAGTACCATTCTCCCTCCAAAACAGAAGAAAAAGAAGGGTAACATAAAAGGTCGGTTCAGTAAATATGATAAGTGGAAACGTAATCTAGTAGTCCATTCTGATGAGCAGGTGACAATCAATTTTTGGTACATGGAGTAGATGTCCCTAAGAAGTCTGTCGTGATTTTACTTCATGAACAGGTTACATGGAACCTATCTTGAGTTTTTGAGGTAGTTCATATCCCAGGATCCCTATATTCCTGATTTAGGTTTGTTATGGAGCTCTCTCTGCAGGTTGAAAAGTCAGTCATGCATTTTTTTCATGATGAAGACATTAGTTTCTGGATTTTTCATGCATTTCACAGCTAAAATTTGATTGTAGATTTCACCTTTGCCTTCTTCGTCTATGCCATTCTCTTATGAAGGGACATTTTTTGTAGCTCACCAAGATGTTTGCCGATTATCCCTTAGTGTGAGCTTCACAGTCAATCCATTGATTGGCACAATACACATTGCTAATTATTTGTATAGATTTTACCACTGCATTTCTGGAATTAATCCCGACTGGAACATCTGGTGTGCTGAATTTTATGAGACTCTTAGGAATATTATTGGATGTTTCTTCAGCTTGTTGGGTAGCCATATTCAGCTTTACAAACTTCGTAGTCAATGGGTGTTTTCTCTTTATTTGAAAGGAAGAAGAAAAGGAGTGGATTGTGTAACCAATTGCTTCCCTAATCTTGAATTCACTAGGGAACTTGTTTGGTTCTCAAGATTAACTTTTTGTTTCTGATCTGTTATCAAATTGCATGATATTTAAATTTACCTAGGTGGCTTGAATTATTTGTACAATGTAAGATAGTTGTCATATGAGCAGGTCATTGTATTAAGGCTGAAATAGTACTATATATCTTGTCAATAATCTAACTTCTGTTTTGGTTTTGATAGGCAGTGATAGATCTGAATTTAATTTTACAATGAAGAAGACATGTAAGTACAGGAAATTGATGCTAAGTATGTCAAGATCAGTGAGCTGGAGTTGGTGCGCAGATGTGTTACTGTTCCTCAATAGCAGCACGAGTTCTGCATTCTTGGATGTCTCCATCATTTCCTTAAACATCTCGAATAGACTTAGTTGACCTCTCAATTTAGTTATGATGATTGTCTTATTGTATGTGGATGTACTGATGCTTCCATATATTCAATACTCCTCCCCTTCTTTCTCCTTGCATATACCAGTTTCATTTTATCTAATGTTAATTTAGCATGATTCTAGGTTTCATCATCTTTTTTTCTTACTAATGTTTATTATTCTTGTATGATTTTTGGCATATTGGTGCGAATAGGCCTTTTTAACTTTTGCTATATCGGGTGATACAGAAGAATCAGAAACAGATAGTGAAGAGTCAGATGTTAGTGGTTCTGACATGGAAGATACATCTTGGATTTCATGGTTCTGTAACCTAAGGGGGAACGAGTTTTTCTGCGAAGTTGATGAAGAGTACATACAAGATGATTTTAACCTATGCGGGCTAAGCAGTCAAGTCCCATATTATGATTATGCTCTCGATCTGATTCTGGATGTTGAGTCTTCTAATGGTAAGCATGATTACCTTTATGTTCACTGGGACTTGCCTAATTGGATACCATTTTATTTTACTCTTATTACAGATAGTTAATGCACAATTGATAGTTTCAATATTTTGAATCCTAATTATTTTCTGTTCTTTGGGTAGTTATGGATCACTTCTCTAGGAAATTACAGTAGTTAGGCTGGTCATCATTTTCTTTATTGTTGAGTATTATCTGCAGTGTTAAAGTTCATGTTTCCTTTTTTTTATTGGTTTATTAAGCCTCCATATCCTAAGTTCTTTAGAGTTTTAGCACACAAGTTTAGGAGAAAGTTCAGAAAGGAAACATGTACAATCATCTTAAGTATAAACATCGTTTCTATTTTTTGGAATTCTTGGATATTAACATATCCTTTTAAACATAAATTCTTGCTAACAAACAAGTAGTGAACAAGCTTGAGGAGTTCAGATAGCTTTACTAGGCTCTGCACATAGTATTATGGAACAGTATGCTAACAATATTTTTATTTCTTTTTAAGACAGCAAATATCCTTTATCGGGACACTTCTTTCTTTTTTTCAAAGAATACCATAATGTTAAGGACAAATGTGTTTGTGTACGATGATTTCTTTAAACACTAATTACCTGTACTTTAGATATCTTCTATTTCGATTGTTTCTAATAGACAACTATCTAATGCATTTTGATTAAGCGCTTTGTGTGTATGTGATTATATGGGCTAATTACAGATTACTCATATAATTAGTTACCTTTAGCATTTCTGTCCTTATACTTTCAAAAGTTATAATGAGATCTCTATATTTATGAAAGTTTTTTAATCCCGTTTTTTTTCACGCCATCGACTCTGTTGACGAAAATACCGTAGGTTTTACCACTGAGCATGTGCAGTATTTTCGTCAGTAGAGTCGACGGCACGAGGAGAAACGAGATTAAATGTTTTAGTTTTTTAGATATAGGGATCTCAATGTAATCTTTGAAAATGTAAGGATTGGGATGCTAAAGATAACTAATTACAAGGGGTAATCTGTAATTAACCCGTGATTGTCTTTTACACTGTTTATTCATCTTTAGTAACTTTTGCTGTTAGTGAATTTTGGTTTCTTGGGTTATCATGATAAAGCACTGTTGCATGTGTTTTGCCAATTCTACTCACATTTTTAGCTCCAGCTGAGACTTCATAATTTTGTGGTGCATAGACATCTCCAAGAGCTATTTTGAGGTTCATGAAATTTTGCTCTTTAGTTGAATACTTCATTTCAATCATGATATATGCTAATAATAGATAATTTCTGGCTCCTTTTTTGCAGAAGCCAAAAGAGGTAATATAATTATTTGAAGAATTAAAACTTATTTACAAAAGTAATATTTCAGAGAAGAAACAAGAGAGAATATATCATGTACAGTTGTACACGGAATTTAGCAAGACAAAATCATGCTTGTGTGGCAACTACAAAACCTCCATCATCAACATAGCTAGCCTATGATCCTGATCCTTTATTGGATTGCCATGGCACTGCATTCTTAAGAAGCATATATTTTCTTTCAAGTTAGCTGGATCCTTCCATCATGGAGCCATCTGATCCTGTCTTCAGTTCTTCACCCTATTTTCACTTGATATACTTTGGAAACTTTCAAACTGTTTCTGTTGTAGGTCTAAGAAGCAGACAATTTGGAAGAGATAAAAAAGTTATAGTCACTGGTCTCCAGACTAAAGAAAGAATACAAATGACCAAAATTGGAAACAAGTTTAAGTAGTATATTATATTTGAATATTTTGAAAGTATTGAAAATTTTGATCATGTTACAAATGAGTGGTTAAGTTATTAAACCTCCATAAATTTCTGTCACATAATCTGCTTTAGAAATTTCTTACCCATTCTTTACTTGCTATCAATCAATCAGTCAAATCATATGATCAAAGATGACTACCTGTTGATGTAAACCCACTGCAGATAATTTGAGAGAGAGAGAAGTGGAGGGCTCATGAACTTCTGGTGTCTAGACTATTTAAATAATATCAAGGACTACAAATGTAAACAGGTGATGGATATATAGTTTATGATAATGAAAATATAAACAGGTGATGAATATATAGGTTATGAAAGTATTGAGAGACTCAATTGTATTAGAAAGGAGAGGCTGTGTGTTAAAACCCTAACTAAATGATAGATGATTAGTAACTTTTTGTCATGATTACCTAGGTTAAGTTTTGAAACACTGAATGATGGATGATCAGCAAGTTATCTGACAAAACTAACCTCCCTCCTCTTCACATATTTTATGTTTTTTTTTCATTTTTTTTGTAGAAATGAAATTGAGGATATTATGTCAGTCTGTTTTTCTCCCTTTTTTTTCCTTTTATTTATGGTGAACTTTGAGATTTTTCTTGGGGTAAAAAAAAAAAACCATAGCTTACATGAACACAATTCATACAATCATGCATCAAACGTCAAAACAGAGTAGTAAGGCATAGTGGCAAAGGAGATGTATCCTGACTGCAAGAGCAGTAGGATTCTGATTCTCTCAAGTCCAAAAGAGTTGCTAGTTTTAGGTACTCGTACCCATATGGATTTAGCAGTAGAGACGATGGCTACAAAATTAACTTGTTCAGGAGTACCATATGCAAATCAACATTATATCTAGGTTAATGATGGGTTTCTTCTTTGGGAGATTGACAATGAGGTTCCACTTGTAGGAGATTGGCTGTGGGTGAGGTTGAGGGATGATGCAAGGCATGCAGTGGTCAGCCTCCAAGCCAAAAAATGACACTCATTGATCTCCAAATTTGTTGAGTAGAAGGAATTCCAGAGAAGCCTCTAATTTACTTTGCATTTGGCATTCTTTGTGCCACAAACTACTGCACTCCCGTGATAGACATATATGTGAAAGAATGGTGTAATCGATGATCTTTGGAGGCTAAAAAAAAGACAAGAAAAGAAAAGGGTGCTGAAAGTTGTATATATGAGAACAAAATCTTTTATAGCTTGCTCTTTGCATTGAACTCTATGCAATTTTTTTATTGGCTGATAAAATCAATACTTTGTATTTCTTGTGTGGGACATGGAAGTTGGGAAATCTTAATGGGTTTTTCAATTGGGCAGGAGACATGTTCACTGAGGAACAAAATGAGTTAGTTGAATCAGCAGCAGAGATGCTGTATGGTTTGATTCATGTTCGATACATATTGACCAGTCGAGGGATGGCTGCAATGGTAAAATCTTATCCTCTCTGTTTTTTTCATTTCTGAATTGCTCATCAATGACATTTTGTACTGACATGTTCTGTAGCTTGAGAAATTCAAGAACTATGACTTTGGAAGGTGTCCTCGAGTTTACTGTAGTGGCCAGCCCTGTCTTCCTGTTGGGCAATCAGATATTCCTCGATCAAGTACTGTGAAAATATATTGTCCCAAATGTGAAGATATATACTATCCACGATCAAAGTACCAAGGCAGTATCCTTTTTCCCTCTAGTTATTCTTCAATAGGATGATTGACTTATGAAAAAATTCTTAAATAGTAGATGCGTTTTGATAAGCTGCTTTTCCAACATGATTCGTGCCTGTCTGCAATCTATTATGTGTTTTTGGTCTTGGTCTTGGAACACTATTTTGCCAAAGCACTATCTAGTTTAACGACACATGAATTATATTTCTGCGGCAATGCTAATCATGTGCATCTAAGTTCTGCTCAAGCAGTTTGTGCACTGTCCCAAACCTAACAAAGTTATTTCATATTTACTTGATTAAGAAAAGGATTTACTCTTGCTGCATGGATACCTAATTTCTGTCTATCGCTATTTGCTTGACCATGCTTAGATATTGATGGAGCCTACTTTGGGACAACATTTCCTCACTTGTTTTTGATGACGTACGGGCACCTCAAGCCACAAAAGCCATCACAACAGTATGTTCCCAGGGTGTTTGGCTTTAAAGTTCACAAACCATGACAATGGAGGTTGAGCCACCGGATGAACAGAATTCTGTTGCTTCTGGAGGTGTTATCATAATGCAGCAAGTGTCAAGCTGCTTTAATTATTGAGAAAAAAGAATCTATAATGAGTTGTCCTATTTTGCAAGTTGTTTTTTATATTAATCTTATAATTACTGAGCAAGTGTAACTTTTCATGGTTGATTATTAATTTCCATGCTTCATTTTGCCAGGTTAGTGGCTTTTGCCCCTTTTTTTTTTCTCTATCTTTTGGTTTTCAACAATAATTTGGTGAAAGATTTAATATCTAGATGGATTACTTACATGACATAGGCAATAATGATTTTGAAGATTTATATGCGCACAGATGTATGCGTTGCACTCATATCATCTGGAAATGGAGGAAGTTCTTTGCTTTTATTTATGTATGCTTATTGCATCTCTTTTTTAGAGTGCTTTATGTGGAAACAGTTCTGCAGTTATTGGTCAGCTCATATGATTTTTATACTTTGGGAAGTATATTAAGGTCATAAAGCCTTCAAACTCTTATGTTTTTCCTTCTATCATTGGATATCCAAAGGTTTTATAGTAGATCTCACCAAAAGGGGACAAAAGCATGGATTTGGGTGATGGTATATCCTAATTTCAATGTTCCTGATTGTTTGTTCTCCTTTCATTTAAGGACCTAATGGTGTAAACATGGAGGCAGGGCCAAGTCATTTGGCTCACAGCAACAGAACCCTCAAAATAGGATACTGTTGTAAGAAGGGGATGATTTACAGGTCAGACTAGTTTGGCATGATTGGCTTCGTTTTGTCAACGAGAGCATGACATTAATTCATCTGACATCCTCCATCATAATACTTGTTTCTTTGCAATGAATGCCAGCCCTAAATATTTTTTCATCTTATTTGGAAGAACTTTCTCAGTAAATACTAGCTCTATATTTTCCTTACAAACAAAGAAATTACTTATGTCATGTGGATCCTATGTCATAAAAGAACAGCTTTATCAAGTGAAAACAAGAGGACCATGGACGACTTTGCAAACATAGAGTGGGACAGTATTAGATCAGCTAGGTTTAAACATTATACATGCCAATAGAAAATGACAACCATCTTAGCTGTCTCATAAAATGTTTCTTAATTTACATATGAATACCAGTGAGATCAACAATGAAATAAAAAAATAATAAATAATTGATGTTGGACAAAAGCGAATCAGCAACGGGTCATGGATCACTACAGGAAGGTGAGGAGAGACGTGTTCTTGGGATTTCCATGGCTCTTCTTCAGTAGACTTGGTCTCCCTGTTTCCTCAATTGACCTCAGGGAGGGTCTTCTCATTTATACGAGAGAAGGAGAAACTTCTGTTCTCTCTCATTTACATGAGAGAGGAGAAGATTTTCTCTCCATGAAACATACCTCCTCTTGTTGAAGATTATCATCTTCAACAATTAGTTTTTGTGACTATATTAATGAAACAATACTGAATGCTAAAAGAAATGGATAGGATTGGAGTTCTTTGTATGCACAATCATGATTACTGCATCCTATTATTTCTTGAGTACTAAGGCCTCATCATATTCTTGTTGGCCTGTGGTTATCCGATCCCCCATGTCCTCCTGATGAGAAGATGCAATGGCTTTACCTGCATATGGAGCCGTGGCTTAAATCTGGACTTACCTTATTAGTTATTTATCCATGAATAACAACCTAGGGTGGGCCAAGAAAAGGACATGAGCACTTGCTTGCTGCAAACTCTTAAGGCCGGCCTTGCAATTGCTAATTTAGGTACTAGCAGTGATTTTACAAGCCAAGCACAAAGCACAGACTTCAATTTGGGAAGAACTCAAAGGTCTCACTACAAATCAAGTAGAATTGAAATAAAAGGAAAATAAAATAAGAAAATTAGAAAAGAGGGGAGAAAAGAGAGAGAGAGAGAGAAAATGGATGGAGAGTCGCATCATTCAATCATGAAGCTGTCTGACAAAATGCTCACATAAAAAATGCTTGGATGACCGATGACCATTCTCACGTTGACACCATCACACACCCTCCTCGCCCTCCCTTCTCTTCCTTTCCTTCATATTTGGTTGCAATAAGGAGAAAAGTGAAGAGAAACAAGGAACTCTTTTCTCCTCTCTCTCTCTCCCTCCGTGTGATGAGGCAGCAGTCGCAGCTACCGCACCGGTCACCGCCCATCTCTCGATAAATGCATCATAAGAGATCGGAATCCGAGATCGGAAAGGAAACCCACGCTCCCTCTTCCTCTTCCGGTTTCCATCCGCGTCCTCCTCCTCTCCTCCCTCTCTTCCACCCTTCCGCCCCCAACCCTAACCCTAATCTCGATTCCCCCCATGGCCTCTCCGTCCCCCACAAGCGGCCCATTATGAACCCTCCCGGCGCCGCGGAGCCCTCGCCCTCGCCCTCGCCCTCCGCCATCGCGACCTCCCCCGCCCCAGTCCGCCGGCGCCTCGCCCCCTCCGCCGCTGCCGCCCGCTCCGCGGCCCGCCACATCCTCCGCCGGCTCCACCTCCGCCTCCGTCTCTTCCTCCTCCTCTCCTTCCCCTCCCTCTACCTCCTCATCACGTCCTCCGGCGACGCCGCCCCCGATCGCTCCTTCCTCCTCGACTTCTTCTCCGCGGTCGCCTTCTCATCCGTCCTCCTCCTCGTCCTCTGCGTCTCACTCAACGCCCTGCCCCTTCCTTCCTTCCGTCTCCTCTTCTCCCGCTCCTCCGCCCTCCTCCTGCCACGCCACCACCTCCCACGCCGCACGAGCCCCGTCCTCTGGTCCATTGGCAGCTCCTCCTCCCCCGACAAGCCCAAGGTCGACCGCCGCCCGGCCTCGGGGTCTGACGTTCAGGTCTACAGCAATGGGGATATCTTCGAGGGCGAGTTCCATCGGGGCAAGTGCTCAGGGAGCGGGGTGTACTATTACTATATGAGCGGCAGGTTCGAGGGCGATTGGGTCGACGGGAAGTACGATGGGTATGGGGTGGAGACCTGGGCCCGAGGGAGCCGATACAGGGGCCAATACAGGCAGGGACTCCGGCATGGGTTCGGGGTGTATAGGTTCTACACGGGTGATGTGTATGCAGGGGAGTGGTCGAACGGGCAGAGCCATGGATGCGGGGTGCATACATGCGAGGATGCAAGCCGATATGTTGGGGAGTTCAAGTGGGGGGTGAAGCATGGGCTTGGCCACTACCATTTCAGGTGCAAGCTTGAGGATATCTGTTCTGAGTTCTTTATTATCTATTATTTATGCTGAAATTTATTTTATCTTCATTGTGGAATTTATACTTATGTTGGATTGCATGGATTTGATGGTTTAAAGATACACATTATCTTATAGTGATTCTTCACAAATTTAGACATCATGTAGTTAAATGGTGTAATGAAATGTAAATGGATTTGCCTCTCTGCTTTACTTCACTCGGTTACTTCATATGATGCTCTATCCTTCTTCTATAACTTGGACAGAATTGGCAGTGAACCCTTAGTTTTTGTTGTTTACATGTCTTGTAATCCCTGAACTTTAGCGTGATAAATTTCATTTGGGTTTCTGTTCTTCAGACTGGTTGGTGACTATGTTCGGTTTGATTATTGCTTCATTTGTTTTTGCAAATTGCCATTTGCAGAATTGACGATTCCTTAGTTATGTTGATAATGGTCTAATCATATGACCAACCTACATGACGTTATTGGATGTGGATTTTACATTCGCAGTTATATCTGGATGCCTTTGTTTGTCACTTCCCTTTCTTGGTTGCTTCTCTGGTTGTGCAAAGTGGGGAACATGTGATGATACATTGATTTATTTTCATTAATTGGTTACTACATTGATTTGTTTCTATATATTGTTTGAATGTCTTTATGAGATCTTTCTCCTAATTTCCACAAATTGTACTCTACCTTGTTTCCTAGCACATTCAATGTCTCAAGATAATAGGAAAGTTGTTCTGGCATAGATGCGTATGATGATGAAAGACTAGGTTGGTCTCAAGTAATCTCAGTAGGATCTGATAAAATTATTTCCTATCTTTTGTATAACCTTTTGGTTACAGCTGTAATTTTTCTCTTTAATTTTTATTTCATTTACAAAAAATTACAATCATGACCCTAATTTGTTCTTTTATTTCTTGTGACCATGTAGAAGCAAAGAAATTGCATTGGAAGAGCATAATGACCCAAGTAAACTTTTAGTCTTGTGACTTGTGTAAGCACTGTTGCACCATTGTTGTCCAAAATGCTGGAGCTAAAATTAGCATTCCTACATTATTCTATTTATATATTCAAGTCAATGCTTACCAACCCTGATTTCATGATTTCCCCCATTCACACCCCTAAGGTCTTTGTTTGGATATACTTACCAATGTTTTCTAGAGTGTTACGTGACACCTAGGGTTCTTATTAGCTTTTCCTATAAGGCAGACCTCCATGGTTTAATTGGTATCTTTCGCAGTCGTATTATTTGCAGGCTGACTTAGTGTTGTCCTTTAGTTTTTATTTTACTATTTTTTGCTTGAACAAGTCTTGATGTTTCCTGGCTTCTAAAGTATACATATCTTTTACTTTCTGCCTAGCAGTAATTCATCTCAGCTGCTTGACTTGTGATTCCAGCAAGACAAACCTATTTTGCCTTATAGATATGCTGATATCACATTTGCCAATTAATATTAATTTTACTTTTAAAATTCCTACAATATAATGTAAATAAAGCATATTGTCTTATATTTCATGTTCTGCTTGTGTACATCCCCATCTTTATGTAATTGCATATGTTGTATACTCTGGCATGTAAGCTTTCGACTTGTAATACTGTAATTATTATGTCTATCTTAATGATTTACAAATTTGTTATGTCCTGGCTCTTTGGAGTTGTTGAGATATTTAAAAGGTTGTTCTTGTGCTTATTTGCTTATGTAGTGATCTTCTTATTCTTGTGTTTCGATATTTATTTGTCGAATATGGGCAGCTGTAAGTTGTGGTCAAAATCAACTGACCTCCAATTCCTTTTTATGCTTCCTTTGTTCAGTTAGTAACTGCATAAAACTATTATCATCTTTCCTGCTGCACCCGGACAGACCATTGTAGTACAAACACATTTACAAATAATATTATCTGTGATGTGCGCCTAATCATTGTTATCTACCATCTAGTGCCTCATTCTTTACCAAATTGTGGGATTGATTTTGCACTAACCTTTTGAAGGAATGGAGACACGTATGCTGGGGAATACTTTGCAGACAAGATGCATGGATTTGGGGTGTATCGTTTTGCAAATGGGCATAGATATGAAGGTGCCTGGCATGAGGGCAGGAGACAGGGCTTGGGAATGTACACATTCCGAAATGGGGAGACACAGTCAGGTCACTGGCAAAATGGTGTCCTTGATACTTTGAGCACGCAGAGCATTAATCTCGCATCGCCAGTTGCTGTAAACCATTCAAAAGTTTTGAATGCAGTCCAGGTAAATGGGCTTTATTTCTTTCCAGCAAACAATATCTGAGCTCAATTTTCCTCTAGCAACAAAGATTGGACCTATCGTCCATCCATACAGGTAAGATTTACATGTGTTGATTCGCTTGCATCCTCAGGAAGCTCGAAGAGCAGCAGAAAAAGCCTATGATGTGCCTAGGGTTGATGACAGGGTGAACAGGGCTGTTGCTGCAGCAAATAAGTCGGCCAATGCAGCTAGGGTCGCTGCAGTAAAAGCTGTTCAAAATCGCATCCCTGACAATGGTGATGACATACGAAACCACATTGTGTGAAACACGCTTCAAATTTGGACAAATAAGTCTTTGAAGAATTACCAGTGTCTGCTTTGGACAATTAGCGGATGTCCAGAAGCGAGCATCAATAAGAAACTTCCAAGCTTCATCCATGCAGCATATTGTGTTCTTTGTCTTCCCTCTTTTCTCTTTCCACTGCTATGCTTCAACTGACCTCACTGTGAGATACTTTCAGTTGTCGAAGATAACTGATAGACGACTCAGATTTCAGATTTCTTTTGCCTTTTTGCTTGCGCTATGTAAGACGTGAATGTGATGACTGTTCATCACTATGCGGAACTGGTGGATTATGTTTCGGTCTGTGTAGAGAGTTGTTGTGTGTCCGGCTGTGCAGGCTAGAGATCAATTGGTTGTATGCGGAACCTTGTCAACTTTATGGATATCTTCAGATCACGAGATGTGCTTTGTGCTTGGCCCTTATTGCGTAAGTCAGGTTATGTTATGCACAATGCTAAGCTAAACGACGAACACATACATCGGAGGTGCGATGGATCGAATTCATTCTGAATGAAAGAAGCTTCTTGATCGGTTATAGGAAGGCATATTTTGGAGTTAGATGCAGAGAAGGTATAGAGCTGCGGATGATCAATGAACACATAGTGACTCGGATCATCTTTTATATTTGAACGCTGTCTTCTTTACTTGGTTCAAGTCGAAACTAAAATCTTCAACTCAATAGAATCCGGTTGATCAAATTCAAGCTGAGCAGGCCAGTAAAGGGAAGATGCTTCTGGTATCCCTGATCCCTGCAGTTAGATTCTCTGTCGAAATCTGGACTTCTCAACCGCAAATCTCACCTCAGATTTCTTCGCCTAAGATCCGCATTGATATGGCATCAAATCCACTGGGAAGTGAAATGAACAGAACAAAAATTATTGAAGCCTCATATTACTTTTCCTCCCTTTGAAGGCCAAAGCATCAGATACAAGCAGTAACAACAACAACAACAACAGTAGGAAAGCAAAGAAAAACTTCCTTCAGACCCAGACAAAAATTGACGGCATAAAAACCTCAACTCATCATCCTTTACAAGCATTAGAGCTTCCTCTTCTCTTGCTCTTCCTGGACTTTAGCTTCGCACAACGACTATAGCTTCTGATGCATCGTTGTGATCACCCAGCCACCACAGTGCCGGCTCTGACGTGGATCTTCTCAGACTTGGCACCGCCGGCGGCGGCGATCTTCCGCTGCTGTTCCTTCCTCGAGCTGGAGGTCTTTATGGACAGCTTCCAGCTCTTCTCCTTGGCCTCGTCGATCTCGATCTGCTCCTTCCGGCAATCCTCGCTGCAGAACGGCATGTCCCCTCTGCAATGCACCACTATCATCAATACAACCGCAGGGTCTTCCAAGTGACTCAATGATTGGGTCAGGGGGAGCTAAACCTGTACATGAAGATATCGCGGTTGCGGGCGAGGGGCTTCCTGCAGAGGGAGCAGGAGTCCAGGAAGTGGCGCGGCTCGTCGTCTTCTTCGTCGTCCAAGCCATCGAAGAACAGACTTCTCGGCCTCAAAGACGACAGGGATCCCAACATGGCGCTCCCGTAGCAAGAGGGTGGAGGTGAAGGTACGTAGGAGGAACAGCCAGAGAAACCTGCTTGGATTTCGACCGTGCTTAAAGATCCATCAGAGGAGGAGGAGGAGGAGGAAAAGGAAGAGGAGCCCATGAGCTCGAATTCTGCAAGGATGTAGTGACAGATGGGCAGAGAGGATAGGGGATCGGTTTCTGAAGGGAGAAGGAGAAGGTTGGTGTATAAAGAAGTGGTGGAAGGTACAACATTGATGGGGTGGGTGGTTTTGTGTAGAGAGAGAGAGAGAGGAACAGGTGGCTTCCAAACCGCGACCGGTCGCGGGATCCATGCCACCAAACCATTGGAAAAGCTTGCCTGGTCTGCCCTCTCTGAGTTGATTCGGTGTGGTTGATACGATAATACATGATGCATGCAGCGATCAAGCAGTTCAGTGTCATCACATTGTTTCCCTCCAAACCCTGAACACTTCTAATGCTAATGGGACGCAGTGACGTCGCCGTAGTTAAAGCCAGTCGATCCTCCGACATATTGGCTCTTCCTTCCTCTTTCACGGGCAACCGCCTTAGTTTCCGTGGCGTCCCTGAGATGCAGCAGCTCAGCTCCCCGAACTCGAGATCGCCGCTTCTTCCTCCAAAGTAGTAGGAAAAAGTTGTTGTTTGGGCCTGTGGAGACGCCGAGACCACGATTAAAAGTTGGGCAAAATTATTAGTATTATAATTATAAAATATTTACTTTTTTATTTTTTAATTCTTATACAATATTTATTATTTTTTAAAAGAGAGATTTTCTTGTCCCCACCTCCCTTCACCTCTTTCTCCTAACACTAGCTTTGTGCGTGTCTTTGTCTGTCACCTTGCCCTTACCCTTGTCCTCACTCTTATTTTTCATTATTGTAGTACATCTAAGGTCGTGTTACCTTGTCGAGGAAGCTCCATGCTCTCATCCATGTCGTCCATCATCTTCATCTTATGTTTGGCATTATTGTTACTAGACACTAAGATCACATTGCCCTTAAGACCTCCGATGAAGACATGAACAAGGGAGTCAGAGGAGGGAAGTCCTAGGGATCTCGAAAATTATCATCAAGGGGGTCATTACTATGGAGGTGGTCGTCACAATGGGAGTCATTGTCATGACAAAGCAAAACGAAGATGGTGCAATAGTAACATCATCGTGGTGGTGATTCTCATGATACGATGAAGGCAACCCACAATGAGACCATAACAGAACACAACGAAGCTTAGGGGTAAAACAACAAACATAATCTGCCATATATACGACTTAGGGGTGGATATACCCGGGTACTAGTGGTAAATGGGTAGGAGAACGATATTTCATGATCTAAAGAATATATTATATTCTAATTCTCGCTGACATAGTAAAATCAGTAAATTAATTTTTAATTTTTTAATCAAATTGGTACATCTGTGTCAAAGTTTTGATTAAAGGCATGTATCTTTTCCTATCAATCCCTTAATATAGCAAAATCCAAAAACTTCAATCATTCACGTTTGACCGGTGGAATAGAGACGTAGAAACTCAATTATTAATAACTCTTCTGTGAGAATAAGAATGTTCATAGTATTTTTGCATATCTTTTCGAAATTTTAATTTAAACGTACAAGGATTCAATTAGGCAAATTTAAGCCTAGAAAGGCCCATTGTATTATCAATTAAGACATTACTAATGAAGCCATTAACCAAAACAATAATCGATGGTCCAATAAACTATATTGCTTCCTCCTTATGTATAATATACGTATATAATTGTTTAGGGTGAAGAAGACCATATGATGTTCAGTGAGTGTGCCTCCTTTAGGTAGCAATAGATACAAAGAACAATGTGTGTGTAAGGTTTGTCTAAAGCCAAACAGAATATTTCCTATTGAATTGTTTGATTGATTTGGTGTCCATGTTACTCTTGTCAATTTATAATGTGAGATAATCTGAGGCCGAGTTCTTTAGTGATATTGTGATATTTTACATGTATTTCTGTACTTCAAAGAAAAAAAAAACATTTCATAATATTTTTTGTTTGCTAAAACTAATGGGATAATATCAAGAAATGTAGATTGTTTAGATATAAGCTTTTGTCAACACCTTGCGCAATCACATGATGTCCGTCAATGTGGAACATGTCTCGATACACTTCACCCTTGAAATAATAAATATTTATTTCTTCCTACTCTTTTATATTATGTAATATATAGATAGATAGATACGTATATGTATTATGATGAGTACGCTAGAATTAATGTAATGTAGCAGGAACAAAGTGGTGCTATAATTAAACATTTGTGAGGTGTCTCCATGTGGAGATCAGCTTCTTGTTTCCTCTGAGTCTACCCCAATGACCCATCTTATAATTTAATGTCATGATAATGTAATTACTTCTTGTTAGTGTCAATAATAAGTCCAACGAAACCCATGCTACGGTTTACATGGTTTTCCTGGATGCTGTCAAGCTAAAACTCTAATGATTTGTGACATGACATGCAAGCCATGAGCGTATTACATGATACTAATGTTATTACTACTGCTTAAGTTGGATGAGTCATGTCAACCCCCTCAAACAACAGAGTTAGAATTTGTTAATTAGATTATGAATCACCTTACAAGGATAGATATGAACACCATAACCACTACTGCATGAAACAAATAACAACTCATAAACCATAGGCAGAGGACTCATATTTTGATGACCTAAAGTTTTGACAAACAACTACGTAGACAAACATCAATAGATCATATAACAGAGTCAGTATAGCATGCACAACAAGGAAAAATTAAAATCATGTGATGATGTGTTATGAAAAGACATGCAAACAATGAACGTGATCGATACCAATGCCAGTGCTATTGCTTAAGTAGGATGAGTCATGTCGACCCCCTCTAACAACAGAGTCATCAAAGTCTCCTTTTGTATTTTGCCACGGTCACTACCATCATCACGTATAGCTTGTCAAACATGTTATCAATGGCACGGAAGTACGTGATCCTCCATGTCCGTCGTAACAAAAGGCTTCCACAAATCGCCCAAAATCCAGTAATAAATCCTAGGGTAATACTTGTATATAACCAAAGTGTTTCCATTCTGCTCTCAGAAGAATCTTCATTTTGCTTTTCTCCATCAGTCTTCGCTATATTCATCGTACAATTTTTTGGGAGAGGAGGGCCACAAAGATTTGGATTGCCAGCATAGACAGATGGATCATTTAAAGTTTGCAATTGGCTCCCAGTGGGGATTTTACCCGAGAGATTATTATATGACAAGTTTAAATCATTTAAGAAATTTAAATCTGCCAAGGTCGAAGGAATTATACCCGAGAGATTGTTTCTTGAGAGGTCGAGGATTTCTAGCTGTTGCATTCCGTCAATGTTGCTTGGTATCTCCCCTGTTAGGTAATTCCCAGATAGATTTAAGCTCCGCAGACCATGCAAATTTCCCAACTCTCTAGGGATGCACCCGGACAAACCATTGTTGGAGAGATCAATAACTGTGTCGATTGAAAGTAGCATGCTGTTGTATTCGAGTTCACTTCCTTTTGTGAAGAGCCACATGTAATCCTCAAAGCCAAAATTATGAAAGTACAAACCCTTTGAAGGAGAGCCTTTCAACGCACTAAAATTGCCAAAGCTGCTTGGTATTATTCCCGAAAGATGATTATTCGAGAGATCCACTATCTGAAGAGATGTAAGATGAGATAACTGAGGAATGTTACCAGTAAAGGCATTCGAGCGTAAGTTGAGAGTCCTTAAGTATGGTAGGCTTTCCCCAATCCAATTTGGTATATTGCCGACGAATTTGTTGTGAGCCAGATCAAGAGTAACCAATCCGGTAAAATTTCTGAAAGAAAGAGGGATTTGTCCCATAAAATTATTGTAGCTCAGATGTAGTGACTGTAGAGTTTGTAAATTGCTGAGGGAGTCAGGAAGTCCTCCTTGTAATTTGTTGCTTGATAAGTCTAAGATAACTAAATTTGAAGAATTTTTCCAGCAATTAGGAAGCTCCCCAGACAAATTATTTTTAGAAAGCCTAAGCACTTCCAAAGACTTGATTCGACAAAAAGAGAAGGGGATGCCACCACTCAGATTATTGGTAGATAGATCGAACCATTGTAAACTTGACATTGTGTTTGAGATTTTTGGAAAGAATTGTGGCATCTCACCCATAATATTATTGTCGGAGAGAGACAAATATTCCAGATTTGGCATCATATTTGATAATTTTGGAGGAAGATATCCTGATAACGAGTTATTGCTGAGATCCAATATAGTTAGATTTGAAAAATAATATGGTACATCACCGCCAATCATATTATTGGAGAGATCCAAATACTCGAGACCGGATGGAAGCCAGTTGGGAATGGTTTCTTTTATACCTGTATTTGATAAATCTAATTCATCAAGAGTGGTTTGTGTTCGGAGCCATTTCGGAAAATGGGGCCAGGGCAATATTTGGCAGAATCTCAAGCGAAGGGTGTTAAGATGAAAGGGAGGGATCCAGTCATCGCTTTTGTTCAAGTGTACAGAGTTGTATGAAATGTCCAAATCTTTCAAACTTGATAGATTAGCAAGGTCATCCTCTGATAAGCTCAACGAGTTATTGTGAAGATCCAATTGGACGAGGCCCTTCAACCGTTTGATGCCTTCCGGAAGCATCCCATTCAAAGTGTTGGATCCTAAATTCAAATATCGTAGCATAGAGAGGTTTCCAAGAGATACAAGTTGTGATCCATGGAGAGAGTTATAAGAAAGATCCAAATACTCAAGACTAGAAGGAAGCCTATCGAAAAACAAGTCTTTGATACCTGCACTTGACAATTGTAGTTGACGAAGAATGGTTTGGGTTCGGAGCCATTTCGGAAAATGGGGAATGGGCAGTATTTGGCAGAATCTCATGAGAAG